TCGATACAGTACTAGTGTGCTTGTTTCCCACTATAAAATGACTCCATCCCTCTGGACGGCCAACGCGATATACAGTATATACTCTGGATTAATTGCACCGCGTCTCCCTCGCTACGTATACACCTTCAGTAGACAACTGATATAACGTTGAATGAGTGAGTGAGTCGGGTTTAACGCCGCTTTTAACAGTATTCCAGTTATATCGCGGCGTGTCAGCTTAATGTGGGAGGGAAGCCCGAAGTGATGCAGGTCTCAGACGTTTACCACTTCGGTGAAACCCACGATCCCGGGTATGGTGCTGACAAACCTTGAAACATAATCGGGGCGAACCGGGATTCGAGCCCACAATCATAGGTTTCTTGCGTGCCCAATTTTCGCAGCTCTGCACAGAGAATCGCGGAGCCTTAGACGACTGGGAGGGACCCCCGTGCCCAAAATAGCGTTGAAATAATGCAATTAATATATATATATATATATATATATTGCAAACAAAACCCTTTCATGTAACCTTATCCGCAGCATGTGCAACCGTCGTTCGAAAAAAACAACTGAGCGTGATGCATTATTGTTATTTCATATAGATTTATTTTCAAGTCAGATTTTCCAATGCTTTCATTCTCAAAGTAAACTAATCTTAAGTTCAAATAACTAAACTCAAACATATATTTATTGAAGTTCAAACGTTCGATCAATATCGTATATGTTCAGAACTGGATTTATAGAAAAGCGATATAACAGGTGTACTCCTGTATAACAGGTGTTCAACAGGAAGTACTCCCTCCTTGACAAATGAAATAGAATAATGGTGTTACAATGTCTATAGCAGTCACGGATCAACAGGTTACATTGCCTCTAATGGGTAGATTGTTAAAGCGTGTTTTGTACTGATATCCAGGTGAATAATACAGTCAATTAATTAGCATATTGCACTAGCAAGTTTAAGCAGGGTAAACCGCATTTAAGCAAACACAAGTACTTGGATAGAACGATGCGATGGTACGATTGCATGACGGTGGTGTATGAGCACGCCCACGAATACGCTCTATTATTAGAACGTTGAGGTCGAACGATTGCATGACGATGGTGCGTTAGCACGTTCCCTGACACTCTATCAATAGAACGTTGCGCTGACACGATTGCATGTCGAGAGTTTATAAGCACGCGCCCATGACACTCTATTAATAGAACGGTGCGATGGTACGATTACAAGACGATGCTGGACGAGCACGCACCCATGACGCTCTATTAATAGAACGATGCGATGGTACGATTGCATGACTAATCGTATAAGCACGCCCCCAAATACTCTCTATTAATAGAACGATGCGATGATACGAATGCATGACGATGGTGTATAAGCACGCACAATTGATACTCTTTTAACAGAACGATGCGATGATACGATGATAAAAAACGAATACAAATACCGATAGGAGGACTTGAAGCGGATTTCGGACATTGAATCTACCAAAACCTCAAAAGTCTGAGAAAAAAGTCACTATGCATGAGGTTTAATTATACACGTGGTTCCTGGTACCCCATCATCAGTGTCACCAATTCCAGTGAAATTCAGTTTGTTTACAAGTCAAACTGTTGGCTAGGCATTACTTAGAAGTTGACGGATGACAAGGTACACACAATTTTGTGGATAACAACTTCTTTAATACCGTAAAAAGCGACGTTTCGGTATAGATCCTTATACCGTTGTCAAGCAAGGCATTGTGTCTACCTTGTGATCATCCGTCAACTTCTAAGTAATGCCCATCAAACAATTTATCCGTCGTCTACATGGTGACGTGGCAATCAACACCATCAACAGTCTTGCTTGACAACGGTATAAGGATCTATACCGAAACGTCGCTTGTGTCTACCTTGTCAGCCGTCAACTTCTAAGCAATGCCCATCAAACAATTGATCCGTCGTCTACATGGAGACGTGGCAGTCTACACCATCAACAGTCTTGCTTGACAACGGTATAAGGATCTATACCGAAACGTCGCTTTTTACAGTGTTAAAGAAGTTGTTATCCATAAAATTGTGTCTACCGTGTTTACAAGTCAAATGAAAACACAGGATGCGTACGCTTAAGAACAAACCTGTCATTACCAAAGGATATGAATGTGTCTCGATCTATTGTGAACGAACTGCCATGACACTGAGTTTGGAACATTATCCATAACGAACATGAGAGTCAAGCATTTAATGGCAATACACTTTGTATTAATTTTTTACTTATTAGTTTGATTACGGTGTAAAATAGACATTGGTGTATGTTCTGAATGTGATACATTTCCAAAGCCAATATATCACTGTCTGTGATCTAGGCTACGTTTGTTTTCACTTGATGGTAACGTTGATTCCTCGCTTGGTCAACCAGCATCCACAAGAGGTTATTTAATGGTTAAGGATGTCTGCTGATTTGAATTTGTGTTCACTGCGCAGCTGGAAATGTTGTGTATCGAACTGACGACAGGCTTGAAGCCAAACAAGCGCCGAAATGTAGTTAAAGGTTAAAGCGCGATAATTCCCATTTTACGTGCATTGTTTCACGACTGTGACATATTTGCTTAATAATCTCTTTCGTGACGTTACTGCACTGTATTGAAGGAAATACGTGCATGCACACGTTTATGTCCTTTTACGACATGTAAGCACACTAACATATAGAAACTGGGATGTTGTCTTTCAAACTGCAGAGCGAAACCAGGTTTTTTTTATTACAAATAATACAAACACGAACTGGTTTTTCGATTGTGATGTATTTGATAGGAAATCATTGTCGTCCTTTGGACCATAGGGCTGCAGTGTTTCGGCGACAGTTTTCAGTCAACGTTTGTAATTTCTGTTTATCAAATCCAATATTTAATGCACACTTTCATTTACCCGGCATTTTATTAATTCGAAAACCAGTATTCATACAGATAGTACCGTTAATGAAGAAAGGAGTTTCCCGCTTTTATTGTATACATAATGCGCAAGTGAGTATGAATTTTACGCCACTTTAAGCAATATTACTGCAATATCACAAGACATCTAACAACATCTAATCTTACAAATGAATAAAACAATGTGTTCCCCTTCAGTAACTAAAAAATATTGCAGTTAAGGAGAAAAGATGATAAATGGTGTCAGATGCAATTCGCTATTTTGACTTTAGGGCAGGGTACGATCACTTTTGATTCAAAAACAGATGCAGGGGGCACGGGTGTCCCAGTCGTCTAAGGCGCCGCGATTCGCTTTGCAGAGTTGCGTCCCTTGGGCACGCCAGAAAGCTATGATTGTGGGTTCGAATCCCGATTCGCCCTGATTATGTTTCTAGGTTTGTCAGCACCATACCCGTGCTCGTGGGTTTCACCGAAGTGGTAAACGTCTGAGACCTGCATCACTTCGGGCTTTCCTCCAAAATTAAGCTGACACGCCGTGATATAACTGGAATACTGTTCAAAGCGGCGATAAACCCAACTCACTCACCAATAAACACATGCTCATGAAATAGTTGGAATCGTACAAAGGACTGCTTTTAGCAGATATTTCGTATGACTATGGGAATATTTATATGGCTTATATTATTTTTTTTCTGTTCTTCCAAATGATATCCCAAGCCTCTGAACATACACATTGAAAGAAATCAGTCAGTACGCTCCCAAATCTGCACCAAACAGATAGAAAATATTAATATAACTGTAAAGTTGTAACTTCATATTTTTATTTGAGCAAAAAAACAATGTAAGCGTAAATACATAAAAGCGACAAAACCCGTTCCATATTCACAAGAAATCTCCACCCAAAGAAGAGTCGATTGTACGATTCCGACCATATCATGAGCATGTAAAAGTGAGAACGAATTATTCGTAAGGTTTAACAGAATAGAACCGAATTTTATTCCCAAAACTCACATATAGTGACACAGAGTAAATACAACATTACATCATATATGCACGCGCTATATATATGTAAACACGTATGTTAACGGTGAAATTAGCTCAGATTGAAGATGAAGAGTACGTTGAGTCCAAACTTCTTTAGTCGGCAATGAAACAAACAAATACAATTACTAATAGAAATATGTCGAGCGGAGATTCCAACTCAACAACTACAAGTGAAGTCCAGCAAGCAGGCGTATCCTACTCGCGGCTGTACATACAGGTGCTGTCGGAATACCAGACTAACTAACAATAAAGATGTAAACATATATATACACTATTGGACAACTATAGACAGACAAAGAGACAATGGCGTTGCCCTGGCCATGGGGCTTATGGATGTGACTACAGACACGGCCCAGAGGAAAATGGATTAAGGCTATAAATGTCATAATGTGAAATGCCGTGTTAGACAATGGTACAACTGGCCGCTGTTACGCGTGGATTACATCAAGTTAAATAGTCCAGATTTTCTAAACGATATGTACTCAACACTGTACAAAAGGGAAGTTGTTCAGAAGCTACAATTCTTTAACATTGCGTTGTCCAGAGTGATGTTAAGTCACTCTGTGACATATACAGGTCGCCGCTTTGAACATTATTGCAGTCTGGGGCTTCACCACTCAAAGATCATAACCAGCTCGAATCAGGGATTCGCACCTGTGATGCGCATCCAGGCTGGACTAAATGATTGACGTGTTTGTTTTTGCTAAGCATAAATATATGTAAGTGACATGGTGTCCCACTGCCTTACACGTTGGCTTGGATTCTGGTTATTCAACTTGTCCAACTTGGAAATTTGATTTAATACTCATGACTGCAAAACTGATGTTCATAAGCGTATGAACGACACATTTTGACGTTCCTACGTTTTTCACGAGACTATTCTTGAAATGACGTGAACGCTGACGGACTACTTCCACATAAACGTGCCTCAGCACATTGATCACGCCCCAAATGTTGCTACAAGTAGAATTCATGTGTTAGTAAAACAACACCAACGATCCTCCTAGTGTACGTGGCGACACCTTTCCTTGTCAAGCTGAATTATCGAATGCCCCCGCCGATATTCTGGTATGTTCAACACGTACACACGTAACACTACAACTGGGCTGATGCCAGATGTGCAGGATTTAATTGACTTCACAAACCACCGTTACTGATGTTTTATGACAAACCGAAGACCTGAAAGCATAACATTGAAGTTTGCATTGAAACTACATAAGTTATTGCGACAGCGACATAGTGTATGGAAAAGGATGCGAACGAATATCAGGTATGAAAAGGTATAATATATCATGGGGAAAGTCTTTATCATGATTTCGTTATCAAATAATCATTCATTATCAAACATTAAGTATATCAAAATGGATACAGGTGTAAGTTCCGTTCGTCGTTTGTGTTTGAAAGGTTAAGTTTCAGAAACATCAAACGTAGAAATATTTGGAAGCTGTTTGTGTTTTATTCATAATTCAATACCTTAACGTAAAAAAAATATTATATGTATACCAGTGTCTACACTATTCTATCATTTACCAACTGACAGTTTCTCTATACTTCATCCTGAGATATTGCCCCTCAGAATGTCACTAATCAACATTCGTTTACCCCTTTCTGGTTATTGTCTTAAAATTGAAACATGCTATTTTCAGTTCCTTTTTCATCATCAGAAAGCACGCTGATGGTCGTTTGATTTGTTTCCAAATGGTAACAACCCCCCCACACACCCACACCAACACCCACACACACCCCACACACACACGAACACACACACCACACCACACCACCACCCCCCCACCCCCCCCCCCCCCCCCCCCCCCCACACACACACACACCCCAACCCCCACTCCAAATTCTTAAGAAATATTTATTGAAAAGTGCATTTTTGCAATCGCCACATCACTCGCAAATGAAAATGGATGACGAGAACTAAATATACGAGGCCAAGATGATATCTTTCTTTTTGTCTTTTCAGGTTAGATTCCGTGTAGACTGAATATATACCCAGGTCCCTGGTTTAAAAAGACAAGAAGAGAACAACTAAACATGAGAAAATACTTCCGATTAATCGGTCGCTTTTTCTTAATAGCCTTAGGCATCACAACGTATTCGCTAATTTCAGGAGTCGTTGATCAAGGGTTGTATCACAGCTCAGTCAGTGAGAGTGATGATAAGGGCTTAACGAAAAGGAAAGGTGATCAATTCCCTCGAGAAAACGTGCGATGGAAAGATTTAAACGTAGCCGAGATGAATCAACCAGAAAGTGCCGGAAATTTGAATGACACGAAAGATAAGATTCGGCAACAACTCGACCACATTCACCTACTGAACAAATTGAAGGAATTTGAAAAAGGTGACAAGATAAAGGGTGAGCCCCCAAGTGACGTGAAACGCGTTCCGGGAGTCGTTCAGGTGTCAAAAAACAAGGAAGTAAATATGGAAGTTGCGGACTTACCATATCCATCGTTTGTGAAATACAGTCCCGAGAATGGCCCGGGTGAGTATGGATATGTTACTAGTATGGTTATGATAAGAGAATGGATATGATATTAGCATGGATATGATAAGAGAATTGATATGATATTAGTACGGATATGTTATTATTATGGATATGACAATAGAATGGATATGTAATTAGTATCGATATGTTATTAGTATGGATATGATAAGGGTATGGATATGATATCAGCATGGATGTGATGAGAGAATTGATATGATATTAGTATGGATATGTTATTATTATGGATATGACAATAGAATGGATATGTAATTAGTATAGATATGTTATTAGTATGGATATGATAATAGTATGGATATGATATTAGCATGGATATGATAAGAGAATTAATATGACATTAGTATGGATATGATATCAGAATGGATATGTCATCAGTGCGGATATGATATTAGTATGGATATGTTATAAGCATAGATATGTTGGTATGGGTATCATAAGAGTATGGATATGATATTATCATGGATATATTAGAATGGATATGTTATTAGTATGTATATGATATTAGAATGGATATATTATAATTATGGATATGGAAAGAGTATGGATATGATATTAGTATGGATATATTAGGATGGATATGTAATTAGTACGGATATGATATTAATATGGATATGTTATTAGTATAGATATGTTATTAGTATGGATATGATAAGAATATGGATATGATATTAGTATGGATATATTAGAATGGATATGATATTAGTATGTATATGATATTAGAATGGATATATTATTAGTATGGATATGTTATGGTTATGGATGTGATATTAGAATGGATATGTTATTAGTATGGATATGATATTAGAATGGATATGTTATTTGCATGGATATAATATTAGAATGGATATGTTTTTAGTATGGATATAATATTAGAATGAATACGTTATTAGAATGGATATGTTATAAGTCTCGATATGTTGTCAGTATGGATATGTTAGCAAGAATTAACAATTTGATGAGACCTAAACGCTCAGAAACTAGTATAGTGGTGTCATGCTTTATTCGCCGTAGGACATCCTCCGTGGTCTAGTGGTATAGCGTCCGCCCGGAAAGCGGAAGGTCGGGGCTTCGATCCCCGGCCGCGTCACACCAAAAGACGTTAAAAGATGGTCCTTGTTGTTACCCTGTCTGGCGCTCGGCATTAAGGAGCTAAAACAAGAACTGGTCGGCTCGGATTCAGCATACTGCGTCTGTGTGGGGTACCTCAGTGAGCTAGCACTATAAATCGGCATTAGTCCGGACTAGTACAAGCAGCCACATACTCACGTGCATGCATGTCGCTATATAAGTATAATAATCTTGGACGGGACGTTAAACCCATTACACCTCATTTTAGTCGCCGTGAACAAGATGTGATGTGTTAATTACATGACGTCACTTATCAACGTCACAATCGACTTTGTCATTGGCCGCGACTGTAAGAAGACTAGTTTGGACATTTTTGTGATGGGGTGGGGGGGTAGGGGGTGGGTGGGGAGACATATATTTCCTTGGATGCTTCAATTTTTAGAGATGATAAAAGGTTATGCGAAATTACTTTGTGGTTTCTGCGTTTGGTACATCCCTGAAACTAAGGCTGCTATACTCTGAAACATTCCGTCCTGCAGGAGAATATGGCGTGTCTTACATTCCTGAACTTAACGCCACAGAGAAGAAAGTAATGGACAAAATGTTCCGTCTACATTACTTCAACGTCTACGTCAGTGACAGAATATCCGTGCACAGGCGCCTGTTGGACACGAGGTCACAAGAGTACGTATCCAATGTGCGATGTAATATCCTGGTAGGTGTGATGTCTTTACTTCGGTTTATCTACAATATCATATTTTGTACGCGTAAAACATGTACCGTATTTGACGTCATAAGCGCACATGGCTTAGAAATAGGGGGCTCTTATTAGAATATAATTTTGGTGAAAACATACAGAGTTGAAAGATCGTAAATATTGCGGTCTATTGCACATAATTAAGGCTGCATATAACACACGAGTGCGTATTATACACGAGCAAATAAATCTGATGTACATTGATCAATCGGAAGGGGTGCTTATTGGGATGGTTCACTAGCCAATACATTAGTAAATATCGCCGTGGGCGCTTATTAGAGCGATGCGCTTATTACGTCGAATACGTTATTCTGAAAGGAGAAAAAGTTATTTCATCATATGTTTTACTGAGCTGTATATCTATCACAAATATTGCATACATGTTATAACAACATGTTATAATGGGATTGATACACGTGTATCTGCATTAGTTGTCTGTGTATTTGTAGATGCAAGGATAAAATATTCCGCACTGACCTGCCAATGGCAAGCGTCATAATTTGCTTCAAAGACGAGGCATGGTCGGTCTTACTTCGGACAGTACATAGTATCCTGGACAGATCGCCATCTCATCTGCTGCAGGAGATAATCCTGGTCGATGACTTCTCTTCATCTGGTGAGCATAATGTCATGTGTATAATGACATGCACCTTACGGAGACATAGCCTTATCGACACGTTAAACCCTACCTCTGTATATCGATACTTGACGGATGTTACCACTCTGCAGAAGCAGAAGGTCATTTATACCACAATGACGTCATCAGCTAGACACTTGCGTCAGACATTGCAGTTTTCAAAGAGCAGTACTTGCAGAATCACCACGTTTACATCGAATACCTTAAACAGGATATATTGCGAACATACTATTCAAAGGGAATTAAGTGTATGTTGTTGAACGCTACAGTCATCAATATTCCAACAATATCACGTCAGATTGCAAATCATCGACTATGGACGGGCCAAACAGGAAGTAAAGTAGATTTTTTTCATCGAGGTATGATGGCCACCAGACAGTCCGATCGTGATCGCTATTTTGTGCAGCAAGCTGCCAGACTGCAAATCATCGACTATGGACGGGCCAAACATGAAGTAAAGTAGATTTTTTTCATCGAGGTATGATGGCCACCAGACAATCCGATCGCGATCGCTATTTTGTGCAGCATGCTTTGAGGGCTGGAAAGTTTATACTTGGAATATCAAGGGGGAGATATACCAATCATACTGTCTTGTCGAATAACGTCGTCAAAGGGAAAGGTCGAATACTCTCATTCGTAAGCCGCACAACTCGTGGTAATGTACACAGACAGTAGCATGACAATATAACTTACGTTAGAACTGGCATGTCGGTGATTTTACACGCATGGGAAAAGTTTATTAATACAAATTGTAACCCAAACGCCCAGCACAAATCAACAGCTGTTAGTCACCATCCTCCCAGCCTTCATCTTAATGTTGGTCAATCTAACTCCATAATATAAATTGTCAAAGCAATAGAATAACCAGCCTAGATTTTCTGCCGAAACAGTTTTCTTTTGGCGTAAAGGGCAAAATAGCCGTGTACATTATATGAATTAACCACTGAAAATCAGTAATGACACTAGGTGTTTGCGAAAAGGGTGAGCATGTCCTGCCCTACCGGTAGCACCCGCCATTCATACAATTTGCATAAAAGGTAAGTACTTATTGCCTGACGCCGTACAGTAGTACTCCTGCCACGAGGGGCGGTCGGGTAGCCTAGTGGTTAAAGCGTTCGCTCCTCACGCCGAAGACCCGGGTTCGAATCCCGACATGGGTACAATGTGTGAAGCCCATTTCTGGTGTCCCCCGTCGTGATATTGCTGGAATATTGCTAAAAGCGGCGTTAAACCATACTCACTCACTCCTGCCATGAGACGTCTGCCTGTACACAAACCGGACAATCCAGTGACACGATGGTATTGTACCATTACTAATTTTGTTGAAACTAATAAAAACCATATGTTATTTTTGAATTACATCTGCTGTGTACAAATGCAGATATTTTGCTGCTAATAAGTAAAGCAAAACGTTTAAGAAATATATTCGTTTTGCAGTTTTAAAGTCAAGGCCCAAACATTTTTGTTTGTAGTTGACTCAGCATAGATAAATGCTGCTAAGCTTGTGATGAAACTCGGTGACTTCAGTCCATCAGCAGAAACATCGATCCAGTTCAGGAAAATTTGAAGTGTCAATCCAAGAGAACAACCAGCCTAGATTTTCTGCCGAAACAGTTTCTTGTTGGCGAAAAGGTCAAAATAGAACTGGAAATTATATGAATGGACCACTGAAAATAAGTAATGACACTAGGTGTTCGCGAAAAGGGTGAGCATATCCAGTCCATAAGAAATACAAACATATAAATACCTGAACAGTTATGGTGTCATGTCTCCTTCAGATCATTTGAAAGGACCCCTGGACAGGTATATGTCGGATTATCCCCTGGTGAAGATTCTGAGGACAACAAAACGAGAGGGTTTGACTCGAGCTCGACTGATGGGGTATGAGGTCGCCCAGGGTCCAGTCCTTGTCTTCCTGGACTCGCATGTGGAGTGTTTCCCAGGTACATACACTGAGCCATATTTCAGCTTCATGGACATGGTGGCCGTATCGCTGAAGGCACTGCAATTCGCTGTGCAGAGCTGCCACGCCAGAACCCTATACGCGTTGTTTCAAAATCTATAATTGTGTGTTCGAAACCTAATATTGTGGGTCCGAAACCTATATAAATGTGGGTTGGAAAACTATAATGGTTGGTTTTAAACCTATAAATGAGGGTTCGAAACCTATTATCGTGTGTTAGAAACCTATAATAGTGGGTTCGAAACCTATAATTGTGGGTTTGAAAACTAAAATCGTGGGTTCGAAACTGTAGTTGTGGGTTCGAAACTGTAGTTGTGGGTTCAAACCTATAATTATGGGATCGAAACCTATAATCGTTGGTTCGAAACCTATAAATGTGTATTCGAAACCTATAATAGTGGGTTCGAAACCTATGATTGTGGGTTCGAAACCTATGATTGTGGGTTCGAAACTGTATTTGTGCGTTCGAAACCTATAATTATGGGTTCGAAACCTATAATCGTTGGTTCGAAACTTATAATCGTGGGATCGAAACCTGTAAATGTGTGTTCGAAACCTATAATAGTGGGTTCGAAACCTATGATTGTGGGTTTGGAAACTATAGTCGTGGGTTCGAAACTGTAATTGTGGGTTCGAAACTGTAATTGTGGGTTCGAAACCTATAATTATTGGTTCGAAACCTATATTCGTTGGTTCGAAACTTAAAATCATGGGTTCGAATCCTGGTCAAAGTCCCAGATTAGGTTACTAGGTTTCCACCCACATGGAGCTGACACGCCGCAGTATAACTGGAATACTGTTCAAAGCGCCGTTAAACCCAACTCACCCATGCATTGATATGGGAGAGAGTTATTTTACCATGTAGTACAAATAGATGCAGTGTTTGGAGCAACCATCTCTTAAAAAATACTGACTAGTGGAAACGGCATTTGGGTTTAAAACAAGGTATTTCTAATCATACCTCCCAAAACGTTATTGAAGTTTGTGTTGGTGTTATGTCTGTTCATCATCTTATTTTGGTAAATGTGCTCCTCTATCCCCTGGCAAACTTTTCAGAACAACAGAACAACTCTACGTTCAAGCAAATATTTCACCACGTCTTCAGTTCGCAACGGCTAATGACTCCACATCTCCAATCTTTTATACGATATGGTTTGTTCACAAATATGATCTTATCCATGAGCTCGATAGATATGTTTATTATTAACGATTGTGATGTTGTACCTGCATCTTCAACTTTAGAGGAAATAAAGACAATATTTGTATCCACCTAACCTGTCCCGCAATTCAAGCTTATCCCAATACAACCTTATACGTGTTACGTTTTTCCCAATCTTGTGTTAAGATTATGTTCAAAACCCACGCCAACGAACATTCTCAAAACCACACCCATAACCACATCCATAACCACACCCACATAGATAACCCTTAGCAAACCTTCTTCTGTACATGTCTTGCTTGTTGCAGGCTGGCTGGAACCTCTGTTGGATCGTATTGCCGAGAACCCGACGAACGTTCCTTTCCCGCATATTCCCTACATTGATAAGGACCACTTTGGCAGTTTCGCCTCCATGGACAACCAAGTAGGGATATTCAATTGGCAGAATCTTATATACACCTGGATCTTCAACCCAGAGAAAGTGGAGAAACTGCGCAAGTCCACCGCTGATCCCCTAAGGTAGTAAATACAGTTGTTACATATTTCATAGATCTGTCGGAATTGGTATAAAATTTATTGTATTTTATTCTGAAATATTTAAGAGCAACAAGACTGTTCCTATGATCAGAGGTGAGACACCAGTACAGTTTCAAACAACTATATCATGAGCATTTGTTAATGGATCACGATCAAATTGTGATGATACCAGGTGTTTAAGAAAAAGTGAGCGTTTCCTGCTCAAACGGTAGCACCCGTCACAAACACATGCAAAGACAAGTCAAGTGATCACCTGAAAAAGAAACACCACCAGAACATGTGGTGCAAGTCAAGTTATGGACCAAATTTGATGCATCAGTCAAGAAACTGATGTTCAATGCAATTTTTTATTTTGACTTGTACCTAATGGTCCAGTAATTGTACAGGTGAACACTTGACTTGCCTTCACATGTGTTTGTGATGAGTTGCACCGGGGAGCACGATACGCCCACCTTTTCGCGAACACCTGGTGTCATCATTATTTGATAGTGATTGTGAAACGAATGTTCATAGTACAGTTGGAAACGTACAAAGGACTGTGCCTTTAGTAGATAGCTCCTATAATCATGGAAATGTTTCTATCGCTTACAATAAAATCATGCCAGTCTTGACTTCGTTCGTCCGGAAACTTTGTGGGAGTATATGTTAGGGAAGACGTCTATATACATCCGATACACATTTTTACATACTCATGATCATGATTCATTTGTACAGGAATCCGTTGAGCAGGAATATTTCGCTGCTTATGTCCGGATTAACAAGGGTTTTTTCAGTTGCTTTCATATTTGTTGTACTTTATCTTTTATTCGTTAGGTCAGCAACAATGCCAGGAGGCCTGTTTGCCATTGACAGGAACTACTTTACGACACTTGGCACTTATGACCCTGAGCTCTTGTACTGGGGAGGTGAAAACATGGAATTATCGTTCAAGGTGACCAAGTAGCTCAACAAATTGTCTGTCGTCACTTGTACTTTTCTGTTGTACAGGATTATTTTGTGGGACATAAAGGACACGTGATATGTCGCAAAACGCTCTAACAGTGAGTTTGGTTTACGTGATATGTCGCAAAACGCTCTAGGAGTGAGTTTGGTTCACGTGATGTGCAAATCCGCTCTAAGACCTGCGAGAACACTTGCAATGTTTCAGCTGAGCAACGTCTTTCGTCTGAATCCTCAAGATGTAAGCGATTTTCTGACCCATCATTCAAGAGTGGTTATGACCCATCTCCGGGCTATATATGATCATCCTGTAGGTTGGTCAAATTTCACACTGGCGCCGCACATGCATCTTGGCAAGCACGCTTCTTAGAACATAGATGTAAACAGATGATCATGGAGGCCCCTTTTGTTCCTGCGTTTGCATTTTGTATCTTGAAAACATAAACATAAATGAGTTGATATTAGCCACACACTTCACATGTGTACCCTGTATGCATGAGACTAAAACGTCGCATGTGTACCCTGCATATGCGTTTCCTCCAAGTGATAGGGGGCACGGGTGGCCCAGGCGTCTTAGGTGCCGCGATTCGCTGTGCATAGTTGCGTCCCTTGGGCACGCCAGAAACCTATGATTATGGGTTCGATCCCGGTTCGCCCCGATTATGTTTCTAGGTTTGTCAGCACCATACCCGTAGAAGAGTGTTCAAAATACATTAGAGCCGTCAAGACAGCCACACCTTAACCATACCCGTGCTCGTGGGTTTCACCGAAGTGGTAAACGTCTGAGACCTGCATCACTTGGGGCTTTTCTCCCACATTAAGCTGACACGCCGCGACTGACTGGAATACTGTTAAAAACGGCGTTAAACCCAACTCACTAACTCACTCCAAGTGATAAATGTCTATCTAATGTGTCACTTTGGCTTTCTCTCACACAGAGGTAATTCTCGGTGAAAATAATATTCAGAAATGCGTTCAACCGCTGAGATACTCGCTCACTGAAACGTTGTCAAACATAAAATATGAAATGTTGAGAAAGAAACATTTAACTTGTGTAATATTATGCTCGTTCTCTCTGTGATCAGGTCTGGATGTGTAATGGAACTATCGAACTCATTCCATGTTCCCAAGTCGGACATATCTTCCGTCACCAGAACCCCATCAAATGGCGCCATACGGGCAACAACGTTGTCAACAGAAACTGCATGAGAGTTGCAGAGGTGTGGATGGACGACTACAAGGAATTCGTATACGATGCCTCCTTTCCACGAGCAGTAAGATGTTCCTTTGAAATGAACATGCGTGTATTTTTTATTATCACTTTAAGTCGCCTCTTCAAGATGTTCCTTTGAAATGAACATGCGTTTATTCTTAATTGTCACTTTAAGTCGCCTCCTCAAGATGTTCCTTTGAAATGAACATGCGTTTATTCTTTATTGTCACTTTAAGTCGCCTCCTCAAGATGTTCCTTTGAAATGAACATGCGTGTATTTTTTATTATCACTTTAAGTCGCCTCTTCAAGATGTTCCTTTGAAATGAACATGCGTTTATTCTTTATTGTCACTTTAAGTCGCCTCCTCAAGATGTTCCTTTGATATTGACATTCTTATATTGCTTTATTGTAACTTTAAGTCGCCTCCTCCCCACAAGCTGCAACGCGTATATACTTTATTGTTACTATACGTCGGATCCTTTCCACAAACATGAAATCGGCATGCATGTATTGCTGAATTGTATGTATAATTCATTGACAAGTACCTTCCCTCTCCTGGGAAAACCAGCGGCATATGTTTGAAAGGAATGTATTTTGGCACCATCCCTAGCACCCTATTGCTTTGTCGTCACAGTTGACTAACTTCGACCATGGCCAAGCTCACTGATTTGCGTGGATCGTTGCTTATTTTTCAGCCACTGGGTTATCAGGTCCAAACTAGCTATTCGCAGGCCGCCACTGCTGCACATTTATTCATTCAGGTGCTCATGATATCAATCACTGGATTGTCTGGTCCAGACTCGATTATTTACATACCGCCGTCATGTAGCTGGAATATTGCTGAGTGCGGCGTTAAACAACAAACCAACCAACCAACTAAGTCTCCTTTAAACCGGCAATTCATATTGATTAAGTCATACTAGTAATACTGTTTAACCAAATCAACATCTCCTAACATGCTCAAAGCCCCAGGCAACTGATCAGTGTGAATTCGAACTTACAACCAAAGCTGACTTTTGAGATGCTAGAAGGAAAACATTCTCATTACCATCTCATCCTACCGGGTACCCACTGACTGCTAGATGAACAGAGGCGTATTTCGAACAACGCCTCTTGTATGAAGAGACACCAGATGTAAAATGTGTCAGTAAAATGTTTCAGTGTCAGGACCGAAGCCCTTGTTATTCAAGACTCAAGCTTTCCAAACACGTTCACACATCCATCTACTCCCCGCGACCGACGAAGCTTAACTTCGCCTGTTACGTGGCCTGTATATAGAACTAGGTGCCATCATGGGCGATGCCAGGTACATTGATAAATTGATTAAGTAGTCATCGAATTGATTTTGGGGAAAGTGAAGATTTAGGGGTGATCTTTCTGGGGGTTAAAATGACAAATTCCTCTTAAAGATAACTGGTAAGAATATGTTTCTCCCATCGCGTAAACAGGATGCAACGGATCATGCATTATCTCCGATGAATATATATTGTTCATTTATATTTCTTTCTCGCAACAGGATTTTGGAGACATATCGGACAGAAAGCGATTGAGGGAGAGTTTACGTTGTCACGACTTCCGGTGGTATATGAAGAATGTATTCCCGTTTCCGGAGCCTGTGAAATCCATAGCAGCTGGAGAAGTTCGTACCCTAGTGTCCATGACATAGATATCGTACCTTAATGTCCATGACATAGATTTCATTCATAAAAACTACATACAGTTTTAACTGTAAACTCTTTATTTAGTGGACAGAATATCTGTCCAGAGAGCGGAAGGTCGGAGGTTCGATCCCCGGCCCCGTCATACCAAAAGACGTTACTTGTTGTTACCCTGTCGGGCGCTCGGGCTCTGAGTCAGTGTACTGTGTCTGAGGGGGGTATCCATGTTAAGCTGCGGCATGGTATATCATGATCAGCGGGCTAGCCCTATAAAATCGGTTATTGTCATGATAATCATGGATGGGAACGTTAAACCCCATTTCACCTCACCTTCACCCAGTACAATAATACGTAATGATTTGAATTATATCCTCAGTGAGTGAGTGAGCGAGTGAGTATTGATTGATGCCAATCTTAGAACTATTATAGCATTTCGCCGAACCCGGTTCTTGGGCGCGACCAACTGGTGTCTTAACCTATCAACTACCTCTACCACTCCGCTTACACACAGTTACATTTTCATTGCTTTACAAGTGCAAGTCGAAACTTAGCGGTAAAAAACAACCAGTTTTTGCAAATATATTTTTTAAAATATGTACTATTATAAATGTTATTTGGTATCAACTGAAATGCTGAAATGAAGCACTGGTTTGAGTGATTTGTTATACCTGAAACCAGAAACATTACATCACCCGTCGTAGACCCTCCCTCCCTCCCTCACTCACTCACTCACTCACTCACTCACTCACTCAAGTCACTATATTTCTGTTGTAGATACGTAACGTGGCGAAACCTATTTGCCTGGACAGCATGGGCACAACAATGAAACCGGGCGTCTTTGGCTGCCACGGCCAGGGTCAAAACCAGGTTTGTAGATAAGATTTTTTCCTGATATGATGTCCATCTGGAACTAATCTGGCAACTCATTATTCACATCTGTCAAAACGGAAACATGATATTAACGTTTAGCTTTCAAATCATAACATTTCTGATGTATACGTAAATATCAGACTATGAATTCCTGTGACATGTTGGTTTACACCAAGCCAAAACTCATGTAAATCCTTGGTCATGTGAACCAAACCTTTAGTTTTAGTTTTTCCTAATTCGTTTTTAGTTTTCACATTTTCAACCAGGCTGACTTATTTGAAGCAGGAAAAAGTAAAAAAAGACACAATTTCCCATATTACAAAAGTGCAACTCACATCTTATAAAGTTTCATAAAACATAAAGAATTCACGTTGTGTTTATACCCTTCAAAATTAGATGCGAGATCGTTAGTCAGGTTTTTCTCTACCTGTGGTTATAAAATAACTGCTTTCATACCGAGCTGGGTAGTCGAGCATACTAGATATTCGAACGATGAGCGTATCCTGGCATAAGTAGGGGACGCAATTCCCTTGGCGAATTCAGGTATCCTCGGGAGTAACTTTAGTCATTTTACACATTATGTCTATCACGATGTGCACATCGTAAGTGATGCAGCCCTGTATAAAAGAGTGAAACAAATCACATTAGAGCTGTCAAGATAAGCACATCTTAAGTGTTGCGTCTCTGTGTAAAAGAGTGTTAAAACACATTAGGGTTATCTAGATAATTATAAGCACATCTTAAGTGATGCATCTCTGTTTCAAAAGAGTGTTAAAACACATTAGGGTTATCTAGATAATTATAAGCACATCTTAAGTGATGCATCTCTGTTTAAAAAGAGTGTTAAAACACATTAGGGTTATCTAGATAATTATAAGCACATCTTAAGTGATGCATCTCTGTTTCAAAAGAGTGTTAAAACACATAAGGGTTATCTAGAAAAGCACATCTTAAGTGATGCATCTCTGTTTAAAAAGAGTGTAAAGGGAACACATTCGGGCTACTAGATAGCCACATCAAGTGATGCAGCTCTGTGTAGAAGAGTGTTAAAACACATTAGAGCTGTCAAGATAGCCACACCTTAAATGATACATCTCTGTGTAGAAGAGTGTTAAAACCAGTAGAGCTGTCAAGATAGCCACACCTTAAATGATAAGCACATCTTAGGTGATGCAACACTGTATAAAGAGGGACGAAAAGCACATTAGGGCTGTCAAAATAACCACATCTTAAGTGATGCAGCTCTGTATAAGAGACAGTTACAAAAACACATTAGGTCTGTCAAGATAAGCACATCTTAACTGACGCAGCTGTGTGTAAAAGAGTATTAAAACCACATTAGGGCTGTCAAAATAACCACATCTTAAGTGATGCAGCTGTGTGTAAAAGTGTTTTAAAAACACATTAGGGCTGCCATGATAAGCACATCTTAAGTGATGCAGCTGTGTGTAAAAGTGTTTTAAAAACACATTAGGGCTGTCATGATAAGCACATCTTAAGTGATGCAGCCGTGTGTAAAAGTGTTTTAAAAAAATTATTAGGGCTGTCATGATAAGCACATCTTAAGTGATGCAGCTGTGTGTAAAAGTGTTTTAAAAACACATTAGGGCTGTCATGATAAGCACATCTTAAGTGACGCAGCTGTGTGTAAAAGTGTTTTAAAAACACATTAGGGCTGCCATGATAAGCACATCTTAAGTGATGCAGCTGTGTGTAAAAGTGTTTTAAAAACACATTAGGGCTGTCATGATAAGCACATCTTAAGTGATGCAGCCGTGTGTAAAAGTGTTTTAAAAAACACATTAGGGCTGTCATGATAAGCACATCTTAAGTGACGCAGCTGTGTGTAAAAGTGTTTTAAAAACACATTAGGGCTGCCATGATAAGCACATCTTAAGTGATGCAGTTGTGTGTAAAAGTGTTTTAAAAACACATTAGGGCTGTCATGATAAGCACATCTTAAGTGATGCAGCTGTGTGTAAAAATGTTTTAAAAACACATTAGGGCTGCCATGATAAGCACATCTTAAGTGATGCAGCTGTGTGTAAAAGTGTTTTAAAAACACATTAGGGCTGTCATGATAAGCACATCTTAAGTGATGCAGCTGTGTGAAAAAAGTGTTTTAAAAAACACATTAGGGCTGTCATGATAAGCACATCTTAAGTGATGCAGCTGTGTGTAAAAGTGTTTTAAAAACACATTAGGGCTGTCATGATAAGCACATCTTAAGTGACGCAGCTGTGTGTAAAAATGTTTTAAAAACACATTAGGGCTGCCATGATAAGCACATCTTAAGTGATGCAGCTGTGTGTAAAAGTGTTTTAAAAACACATTAGGGCTGTCATGATAAGCACATCTTAAGTGATGCAGCTGTGTGAAAAAAGTGTTTTAAAAAACACATTAGGGCTGTCATGATAAGCACATCTTAAGTGATGCAGCTGTGTGTAAAAGTGTCTTAAAAACACATTAGGGCTGTCATGATAAGCACATCTTAAGTGATGCAGCTGTGTGTAAAAGAGTATTAAAACCACATTAGGGCTGTCAAAATAACCACATCTTAAGTGATGCAGCTGTGTGTAAAAGTGTTTTAAAAACACATTAGGGCTGTCATGATAAGCACATCTCAAGTGATGCAGCTGTGTGTAAAAGTGTTTTAAAAACACATTAGGGCTGTCATGATAAGCACATCTTAAGAGATGCAGCTGTGTGTAAAAGAGTGCAAAGTGCACAAATTAGGGCTATCCAGATACGCACATCTTAAGTGAGGCAGCGCTTTGTAAATGAATGTAAAGGGAACACATTAGAGTTGTCAAGACAAGCACATCGTAAGTGATGAAGCTCTGTATAAAAGAGTGTTTAAAAAGTCATTGAGGCTGTCAAGATAGCCACATCGTAAGTAATTCACCTCTGAGTAAAAGAGTGTTAAATACACATTAGGGCTGTCTAGATAAGCATATCTTTAGTGATGTAACTCTGTGTACAAAAGTGTTAAAACACATTAGGGCTGTCTAGATAAGCATATCTTAAGTGATGTGACTCTGTGTACAAAAGTGTTAAAACACATTAGGGCTGTCTAGATAAGCGTATCTTAAGTGATGCAACTCTGTTTAAAAGAGTGAAAAAAAGCATAAGGACTGTCAAGATAGCCACATCTTAAGTGATGCAGCTCTGTGTGAAAGTGTGAAAATGAAATCGAGTATGGCTCGTGACTGTTACAGTGGTGGCAGGTGAGGGAGGATGGGACTATGGGGTCAGCTATGCAGAACATGTGCCATGTGGATGGTACTCTCGTGTTGAAGGAAGGGTGCCCAGAACAGTCGTGGTCTTACGACAAGAAGGTTTGTTTAATGAAAAACAATTGAACTGTTTATATGTTTGGAGCCTGTAACGAATGGTATATTTGGGACAACATATTTTTAGTAACACACACTTTCTAGTACTTTGTGGAGTTGAGGTCAATTCGGCATTCGAACCATCACTCACAATAATCTCCAGAAGCCGTAGTCAACGGTCAAATCAACTCAGCCACCGAGGCATCCACAAAAAATGGAAGACCGACAACTGTCCTATTACGATTTCTTTGTAAAACATCCATGATTTATTTCTCCCTGACCTTCTTTATTCACGTATATGTAATGCCCGTTTAGTCAATTCTTTTAAAATAAAAAAAACATCCAACGGCTGTTAGAATATCAGTGAGTGAGTGAGTTGTGTTTAACGCCGCCTTGAACAGCATTCCAGTTATATCACGGCGTGTCAGCTTAATGTGTGAGGAAAGCCCCAAGTGATGCAGGTCTCAGACGTTTACCACTTCGGTGAAACCCACGAGCACGGGTATGGTGCTGACAATCCTAGAAACGTAATCGGAGCGAACCGGGATTCGAACCCACAATCATAGGTTTCTGGCGTGCCCAAGGGACGCAACTCTGCACAGCGAATCGCGGCGCCTAAGACGACTGGCACACCCGTGCCCCCTCTAGAATATCAAATGGTCGGTCCTTTTGTGTCATGTACAATTCGAATGTGACATGGAAATTATTAAGTATTAATAATGTGGACACTTTTGTTTCAGAATCAAACCCTGCTGCACAGCCCCTCTAACATGTGTTTACAAGTGACCGTGAATCTCAAACTGACGCTCGACAGATGTTCGGGAACGTCATGGCAAAAATGGATAGTGCCATTGAAGGATAAACAATCAAAGCATTAAGGCGATGGTTCGTGTCACCTTGGACGCTGTGGATAGTGTATCACGGTAAACTCTGGATAGTGTCTCATGGTAAACTGTGGATGGTGTCTCATGGTAAACTGTTGATAGTGTCTCATGGTAAACTGTGGATAGTGTCTCATGGTAAACTGTGGATAGTGTCTCAAGGTAAACTGTTGAAAGTGCATCATGGAAAACTGTGGATAGTGTCTCATGGTGAACTGCCATATGTGATATGAGAACTATGTTTATCAAATGATGTCACATTGAAGTCTGCTGATGAAGACCTTATTGCCATCCAAGGAGGTCTCCAGGTGTTTGTCATGGTAAATACAGGTGACTGGAGGTGCAGGTTTAACATAACATGTGTAGGCATGAAAAATAAATTAAGCCAGACATCTGCCACGCATTGGAATAGTCGTTATCCAGGAAACATTGGACGTCTCTCCCATGAACTTGACCTTCTCATGTTACGTGTATGGTTCCAGCTATCCGTTCCGCGAAGAATTGATGTTACCATTGCATATTACTCTGATTGGTCTGATCTCGATCACGTGACAGTCATTTGAAATCCGATACATTGTTTTGATCGTTCATACTCTCCAGTAGTTGCGCAGGAAATGGACGCTAGAACATTTGCTGGTGGTACCTAGAGACTTCAGTTACCTTCATGTCACCACACAATGAACGTAATCAGTTATAATACTATCGCTTGTTTCGCAGCTATATGCCTATATCTGTACAGTTTGCATATTACTGCAATAAAGACAAGTATATATTCCGTCTTTAGGGTAGAGTAGTTACTATTTGATTGAAATCATGAAATAAGCAAATAGACAACACTTATTGAGAGATATAATAAACTGGCACCCACGAAGACACCGAAGAAAATGCGTTATATTGTCAGTTGCAGACATAGATATGGCTGAGATAAAGGTCAGTCTGCAAGGATGGGATTGATATGGCCACGGGCAGTAGTGCCCACCATTGGCCTCAACACACCCTGCACACGACGTCTTGGAGAGTTAGTTAGATTTGGATAACGTCCCTCAGTATTTGGCGCCAAACTTCTCCGACTGGCACATCTGTTTGCAGGAGGGTTTGGTCTTGTTCTAATCTGACAATCAAGAGCGAGCCGACCGATGCATAACGTTAACGTTGTTGACCTGCGAAAGTGACGGACAGTACGTGCCTTATGTGGTCTTGCGTAGTGATGTTGAAACAAGACCTAGTTGTTCTGATGTTGGAAGGGATGTACAACTGGGCGCCATACATCATAGCGTTAACGTAGGGATATGGGATTATCTTTCAACACAGCAAGGTTCTTCTTTCCTGACTACAATCCCTGGTCCATATCATTACGGTGCCACCTCCATATGATACGCAAAACCCTCGGTTCCAAATAAAAATAAGTGATATCTACTCTACAGTGGGACTACATCAAATTTCAAAACACAGTAGGTTCTTTTCCTAATTATTCTAGTTTTGGATATATATCTGGTCGATCAGTCGACATAGATACCGTGGGAACAAAATTCGAATCGGCTTTGGTGTGGCACGTTTGTACAGGTCACTTGTTAATGTCAAAACGGTTCTACTTCAAAAAGGCCCGAGGTCCAGGATCAGGATGGACACGATGTCCTATAGACCGAGACTTCTGCATGAACATGACGGCTATAAAGCATATTTAAAACCACTCTTAAACTTTACAAGATCATCATAAATCCCTCTATTGTGAACAAAATATGAAATGTGAAACAAAACTCTTTGGTTAGATATGTTCAATTAAATGGGTTAAAATGTTGTGAGTTATAAATGTAATTGATTAAATCAACATATTTACACCACACAAAACGTGTGTCATGACTTTTTAAAGACAGACATTATTTTTGCAGACATCTTCTAAAACACGTAGAACAGGGACTAACATAGGGTTTCAAAAAGACAATTGGGAAATAAACATATAATTTATTCCAAACATGCACAATTAAACATTACAGCCTGTTTCTGTAAGCAGTTATCTATGCAAAGCAATTACAATAGTAATAACTATCATTAAATGACAATATTTAAATTTGAAATTGGGATTCTTTTTATTAAGACCTCGAAATTCAGCCTATGAACCTGTCTAGATATATCCCTGTACTGGCATTTTATATATCTGGAAACTACCAGTGAATTAGATGCTAGTATTGATTTCATTGACAATAACTGGTCACCTGTAATAAATAATTTCTCAAAACATTATTCTCCTGTTTCTGCCATTACTTTATATTTAACAAAATATATCATTCTCTGACTTGCCTTACTTATTCAACCTGAATATCCGTTAATGATTTATTCTCAGAACACATCAGGATTCCTGTGCATTTGTGCTATGCATTGACAAACAAAACCTTTGTTCAACTGGATACCATAACATCAATCTTTTCCGTCATATGTCAACGGGAACGGGTGATCTCAGGATGTTTTCTTTAAGAAGAAATAGTAATCTCATTTGGGTCTTAAACCTTGTACAATAGATTACACATGAAAAGAAAAGAAACATCCTTTTGTTATTTCTCCCCAATAGATATACAATTGCAGAAACAATAGAATTGAATGTCCAGTTAGTGGTAATAAATGACATTTTATTCACATTTGTTCTGTTTGTCTCTTCTGTTACAGGGGGGCACGGGTGGCCCAGTCGTCTAAGGCGCCGCAATTCGCTGTGCAGAGTTGCGTCCCTTGGGCACGCCAGAAACCTATGATTGTGGGTTCGAATCCCGGTTCGCCCCGATTATGTTTCTAGGTTTGTCAGCACCCTACCCGTGCTCGTGGGTTTCACCGAAGAGGTAAACGTATGAGACCTGCATCACTTGGGGCTTTCCTCCCACATTAAGCTGACACGCCGCGATATAACTGGAATACTGTTAAAAGCGGCGCTAAACCCAACTCGCTCGCTCGCTCTTCTGTTACAACTGAGCCCATCATTTGTGCCCATCAGCATCCCGTTTCTGGTTTTTTTTGGAGGTGAGATACAGATATTGATATGTTTTCTTCAGTTTGCCTTCATGCATAATCTAAGTCAAGATGCAACCTTTATTGAAAAATGGACTGCCAATAGGAAGGGAGAATTAGGTGTGTCAAAAATTATTTAGAGCCAAGTACATCCCTCCTGTTACTGCCCCTGCTGTTACAGTTCGATGCTGTTACAGTTCGATGCTGTTACAGTTCGATGCTGTTACAGATGCCGTGCAACAGTACCCCAGTGGTGACAGATTGGATGTATGAGCAATGTTTTCTTTCTACTACAACATCATTCAAATGTATTGTATTCCTACTTCTTTTGTGTTTTGCTTTGACAACGTATCAAACAGGGATATCAAGGCTTCCAAAAAAACACTGTTGACGTCAGGAAACTGACAAAGGGAGCCCATTATTAAAATACGCATCCAGTTTAACTGTTTCGAGAAATCGAGTGGGAGTGAACAATCCTAGGTCAAACGCTGATGAAACGTAAACCCTCCAAAACAAGGTGAGGTGAGGTGAAATTGGGTTTAACGTCGCGTCCAAGATTATTGCACTTATATAGCGACGTGCATGTACGTGTGTGTGTGGCTGCTTGTACTAGTCCGGACTGATGCCGATTTATAGTGCTAGCCCACTGAGATACCATGCCGCAGTTTAACATGAATACCCAACTCAGACACAGTATACTGACTCAGAGCCGACCAGTCCTTGTTTTAGCCCCTTAATGTGTCGAGCGCCAGACAGGGTAACAACAAGTACCATCTTTTAACGTATTTTGGTATGACGCGGCCGGGGATCGAACCCCGGACCTTCCGCTCTCCGGGCGGACGCTCTACCACTAGACCACGGAGGCGGTCCTCCAAAACAAGAAGATGATACTTTGAAATAACCTGTTTTTCCAATAATGTAAGAGATATTAATTAAGTTTATATTAGCCAACGTGGTCGGCGGCCTGTCATGTACCAGACGTGTTCAATTGTGGAAAGATCTGGGCTCATTGCTGGCCATGGCATTCGATGGATTTTGTGTTGCAGGAGGTGTACGGTGAGAACTGGCGTTGTCCTGTAAGGACCATTATGTGTGCCAATCGTATTGATTCTGCCTATCAGTCAGTTTGTGATTTTATTCAGTGTTTGTGTAGGAGTGAGTGAGTGAGTTGGGTTTAACGCCGCTTTTAACAGTATTCAAGTTAAATCGCGGCGTGTCAGCTTAATGTGGGAGGAAAGCCCCAAGCGATGCAGGTCTCAGACGTTTACCACTTCGGTAAAACCCACGAGCACGGGTATGGTGCTGACAAACCTAGAAACATAATTGGGGCGAACCGGGATTCGAACCCACAATCATAGGTTCCTAGCGTGCCTAAGGGACGCAACTCTGCAAAGCGTGCCCCCGTTCTGTAGTAGGGTGTGCTTACGACGATTACTTACAGAATGGTCTTGATGTTGGTCAGAGCTCTTTATACGGCAAAAACGGTACAAACGTACGATATTTTAATTTATTAATAGTACAGTGTTGTTATACCATAGAATTGATTAAAGTTGCTTCAGTCCCAGATCTATATTGGTAATTAATCTTGAGGCTGTATTTCCTGAAGGGCTTCCCGAATAGCAGGAGGACAAAAGAACTTTATGTAACAGCAGGGAGCCTGCAATTAAACCTGCAATTTGTTTTCTAGGTAGTCTTTTGTGAGCCGCAACATATGTCTCCCGAATTTGGCTTTATTTATTTTTTTGACATTGATTTATTGTACTGATTCGATATTTGATAAACACTTTGTATGAAGCTAAAATGGTGTCATATTTCGTAGCCATCAAAAATGTTATTGTAAACCAAGCTTGCCACATTGCAAAACCCATCAGTGGTAATTACTCGGTCAATTTCGCAGATAAAAGCATCAAATTGTATGCCAGAATATAAATTGTCATTTGCAGGAGGTTACTTTCCATACCATGTATTATTGAGAATTACATGTCCCAAGAGCTTTGGTTTAATATATTATATAAGCTTTGTCAACAATTACCACAGTCAGCATTCCATACATCTGCCTTCGGCATTCTGGTCTGACAATATTTTCTTCTTAACTAATCTAAAGGAAGGGTAAATCAGTGCCGGAGTCAGGAAGAATTATCTTTAATAATAAATTGGGGTTCCAGTGTTGTATGTTGGGAAATATTATAAACATGTATTATCATTCCAGATTGGCAAAGACCGCCTCCGTGGTCTAGTGGTAAGAGCGTCCGCCCGGAGAGCGGAAGGTCCGAGGTTCGATCCCCGGCCGCGTCATACCAAAAGACGTTAAAAGATGGTACTTGTTGTTACCCTGTCTGGCGCTCGGCATTAAGGGGCTAAAACAAGGATTGGTCGGCTCGGAGTCAGTATACTGTGTCTGAGTTGGGTATTCATGTTAAACTGCGGCATGGTATCTCAGTGAGCTAGCACTATAAGTCGGCATCAGTCCGGACTAGTACACAAACACACACATGTACATGCACGTCGCTATATAAGTGCAATAATCTCGGACGCGACGTAAAACCCCATTTCACCTCACCTCACCTCACCTCACCACATTGGCAACTTCATGTGGTAAACGGTCTTGCTTTCTGGTCGAATAATTTGCGAATTTTAAACATTGCTATTGTAGAACTGCGAACTGGTAATATGTGCACCGTCTCCCCACCCTAGCACCGTCTCCCCACCCTAGCACCGTCTCCTCAATCTAGCACCGTCTCCCCACCCTAGCACCGTCTCCCCACCCTCGCAGTGTCTCCAACCCTAGCACCGTCCCCCGCCCTAGCACTGACTCCCCACCCTAGCACCGTCTCCCCCACTCTAGCACCGTCTCCCACCCTAGCACCGTCTCTCCACCCTAGCACCGTCTCCCCATCCTAGAACCGTCTCCCACCCTAGCACTGTCTCCCCACCCTAGCACCGTCTCCCCACCCTAGCACTGTCTCCCCACCCTAGCACCGTCTCTCCACCCTAGCACCGTCTCCCCACCCTAGCACTGTCTCCCCACCCTAGCACTGTCTCCCCACCCTAGAACCGTCTCTCCACCCTAGCACTGTCTCCCCACCCTAGCACTGTCTCCCCACCCTAGCACTGTCTCCCCACCCTAGCACCGTCTCTCCACCCTAGCACCGTCTCCCCACCCTAGCACTGTCTCCAACCCTAGCACCGTCTCCCCACCCTAGCACTGTCTCCCCACCCTAGCACTGTCACCCCACCCTAGCACCGTCTCCCACCCTAGCACCGTCTCCCACCCTAGCACCGTCTCCCCACCCTAGCACTGACTCCCCACCCTAGCACCGTCTCCCCACCCTAGCACTGTCTCCCCACCCTAGCACCGTCTCCCCATCCTAGCACCGTCTCCCAAACCCTAGCACTGTCTCCCCACCCTAGCACCGTCTCCCATGCCTAGCACGTCTCCCCACCCTAGCACTGTCTCCCCACCCTAGCACTGTCTCCCCACCCTAGCACCGTCTCCCACCCTAGCACCGTCTCCCCACCCTAGCACTGTCTCCCCACCCTAGCACCGTCTCCCCACCCTAGCACCGTCTCCCCACCCTAGCACTGTCTCCCACCCCAGCACCGTCTCCCCACCCTAGCACCGTCTCCCCACCCTAGCACCGTCTCCCCACCCTAGCACCGTCTCCCACTCAGCACCGTCTCCCCACCCTAGCACTGTCTCCCCACCCTAGCACCGTCTCCCCACCCTAGCACTGTCTCCCCACCCTAGCACTGTCTCTCCACCCTAGCACCGTCTCCCACCCTAGCACCGTCTCCCACCCCAGCACCGTCTCCCCGACCTAGCACCGTCTCCCCACCCTAGCACTGTCTCCACACCCTAGCACCGTCTCCCCAACCTAACACTGTCCCCCGCCCTAGTATTGTCTCCCAACCCTAGCACCGTCTCCCCACCCTAGCACTGTCTCCCCACCCTAGCACTGTCTCCCCACCCTAGCACTGTCTCCCCATCCTAGCACTGTCTCCCACCCTAGCACCGTCTCCCCACCCTAGCACCGTCTCCCCACCCTAGCACTGTCTCCCCATCCTAGCACTGTCTCCCCATCCTAACACTGTCCCCCGCCCCAGTATTGTCTCCCCACCCTAGCACTGTCTCCCCACCCTAGCACCGTCTCCCCACCCTAGCACTGTCTCCCCACCCTAGCACTGTCTCCCCACCCTAGCACTGTCTCACATCAACACCCTTTCAGTCACTCAGGGGCGTATCTATCAACCATCATATACTAGTACACGACACGTGATTCCTTGACACATTCGTGTCTTGATGACGAGACCGCCTCCATGGTCTTGTGGTAGAGCGTCCGCCTTGAAAGCGGAAGGTCCGGGGTTCGATCCCATACCAAAAGACGTTAAAAGATGGTACATGTTGCTACCCTGTCTGGCGCTCGGCATAAAGGGGCTAAAACAAGGACTGTGTTCGGCTCAGAGTCAGTATACTGTGTCTGAGTGGGGTATTCATGTTAAACTGCGGTATGGTATCTCAGTGAACTAGCACTATAAATCGGCATCAGTCCGGACTAGTACACGCAGCCACACGTTACGTGCATCCACGTCACTAATGACGTGCAATAATCTTGGACGCGACGTTAGATCTAATTTCACGCCACCTCACCTTGGTTACGTTTATCACTTCTATCACTGGGTACCGTAACACGTGGATATTCAAACCAGATCAGACAATCACTTCTTCTTTGTTAAACTCGAAGCTGACCAAATTTGATGTTATGATTGTCGTTGTGATTGGACAAGTGAGTGAGTGAGTTGGGTTTAACGCCGCTTTTTTTAACAGTATTCCAGTTATATCACGGCGTTTCAGCTTAATGTGGGAGGAAAGCCCCAAGGGATGCAGTTCTCAGACGTTTACCACTTCGGTGAAACCCACGAGCACGGAAATGGTGCTGACAAACCTAGAAACATAATCGGGGCGAACCTGGATTCGAACCCACAATCATAGGTTTCTGCCGAACAAGGCTGGAATCCCTGAGCTCGATCGTAGCGTCACTAGTGGATATTACGAGTTATGTCCCTTCTATGGACCAATCAGATTCCACCTCCCGTAACACTTGCATTGCTTTAAACAAAATGGCGGCGAGACGATATCTGATCAAAACTCAAGATCTATGTTGTGATAAGACGGGTCTTACATCGCGAAGTGCATCCAATCACGTGAGCACCTTGATTAAAAAATGAAAAGATTTGTAAAATATCTGTTGACAACGAGTTGGCGGTGCACATGTTTTGCAAATCCTGCAATCGACCGAAATCTGCACGACAGTTTACGAACCGGATTTCGATTTTGTTGCGCGATTTTGATTGGACTATGCATATACTCTTTAGGCCAGCCAAAATGTAACTCCATAATACCAGCCTTGTTCGGCAAGGGTGGAAACTGGACTTTGATAGTCAGTTAACTCCCTTGCCTCGTGAAGATCTGAATGGATATCACAAGGCTCCCCCCTCGGAATTGTACCCCGGAAATATAAGAGACCCTGGATTATACACTACGTTTCATACGGCACCATTTGAAAAAAGTGACATTTCGTAAGCGATACTAATATAGCATCAATATAAACAATGATTTAGCTGATTTTTCCGTGCAAACAAATTCGTTTGACGCCATGAAGAAAATTACCGATAACGGTTCGATTTTACTGTGTATTTAGAATGAGTTTTAGTTTTGAGATTTTATTTTTTATTTTATTTTTAAGTATTCGATCGGAATTTTGTTTGGAACTGATTACCCTATCTTCGTGTTTACTGTACAAGCTGGATGTGATGTGTGCGTGATTGCAGACAAGTGTTAAACTGCATTCTGGTGTAACAAGACGTAGTTTAAATATACAGCACATATGATGACGTATGTGGGCTGGTAAGCTGCGTTGAGGTTTGTGTCCGTGGAACAGTGAAATACGAGCGCCAGTCTAATCTGACATTTGTCTCCTGAACAGAATGCGAGGGGACGCTCTTATCAACAACGACTCCACAAGCCGCGATCCTTCTCGCTCTATCACGTACCAATAACAACTGGTAAGCTATTTATCTTCATGCTGAATATCACTCATAAACATCTTTATCATCAATGCCTCGGTCAAACGTATAAAGTTAGGTCGAGAAAGTGTTCATAGTAACAACTTAATCGTCAGTTTTATCAGAAATAGGATTACATGTAGCTGCCAGAACAGGTATAAATACATACGACAGACTGTAACACACCACTCTGTGGCTGTCTAATAAACTGACTGTTATTCACAGGGGTCGTGTGTTGTTGTGTGGGTTGGTTGAGTACAGTGCTACACTGCCAGCTGACCCCCCTCCCCCCCCCCCCCCCCCCCCCCCTCCCCCGGGCGGGATACGAAGGCATTACGAAGACATGCATCAACCAAGCGCATGTCTTCGTATCCCAATTGCGCATGCACTCAGATAAGCTAACAACAATATCATGTTTGATTGTTTGTTACCCACCAGTGAAGATCCGGGGTAGAATAGGTCTTCAGCAACCCATGCTTGCCGCAAAAGGCGACCATGCTTGTCGTAAGAGGCGACTAACGGGATCGGGTGGTCAGGCTCGCTCCTTATGACTCTAAAATTAAACAAATAATATTTAGTCTATGATATCTTATATCACAAAATACCCTTCGCGACTCTAAAATTAAACAAATAATATTTAGTCTATGAAATCTTATATTCAAAATACCCTTCTCGACTCTAAAATTAAACAAATAATATTCAGTCTATAAAATCTTATATTACAAAATACCCTTCTCGACTCTAAAATTAAACAAATAATATTCAGTCTATAAAATCTTATATTACAAAATACCCTTCTCGACTCTAAAATTAAACAAATAATATTCAGTCTATAAAATCTTATATTACAAAATACCCTTCCCGTCTCTCAAATTAAACAAATAATTTTCCCCGATGCTGATATGTAGAACAGCTACATCTGGCTAGACTTGCTTTTATATACATATCTAGATTGTTTGGTTTTTTTTTCACAAAATAAATATATCCCACAGACATGGTGCAAGACTAACTTAGATACCATGCCGCAGTATAACATGGATACCTATGGAATACTGTAAGGGACACTCTCGCGATCTCGCATTCTCGCGATCTCGACCTTTGGAAACGAGCTAAATCTGCCCAAAACCCCGAGAATGCGAGATTGCGAGAACGCGAGATTTGGCCAAATAAATCGAGTCGGGACCAGACAATCCAGTGATTGACAACATGAGCATTGATCCACTCAATTGGGATACGATGACATGCCTCAACCAAGTCAGCGAGACTGACCACCTGATCCCGTTAGTCGCCCCTTAGGACCCTTAGGTCACTTTTACGGCAAGCATGGGTTGCTGAAGACCTATTCTACCCCGGATCTTCACGGGCCAGGGACATCACTGAAGACAAGATGTTCCAAATTGAAAAAAGGTCAGCACCTTGTATGAATGGCAATTGTTGTTTCGGGTGCATTGCAAAGAAAAACGTTGCAAAACAACCACATTGTTGGAATATGTATGTTGTTAAAATATCATATATTCTATGAGTAATGTTTTTGTAACAGAGCTTTAAGACGTTCTTCAGAGCTGTGATAAATATTGTGTAACTTAAAAAAATAAAAAAGTTAAAGTGCGTACAAATATATGTACAGATCCTGGACTCTGGCGAGAATCCGTAGATTTCAGTATGAAGCAAGGTCTACGTGCAGTAGCAACCTTAACATCGACGTCGACATTTACATCAACGTCTACAACTACATCTGTACCAACCAGCAAGGCGAGGCACTTTTTCATCAAACACAAAATCAGAAGCATGTATCAAAGTACAACGAGAACTCAGAGATCACAATGGAACTGGCTTCTTGTGGCACGTGTGTCACAACTACCAGCTCACTCGTTTCACATACAATCATGGTTTCACATCTTTCCTAAATGAACAGGGGACACGGGTGGCCCAGTCGTCTAAGGTGTCGCGATTCAGCGTGCAGAGTTGGGCACGCTAGAAACCTATGATTGTGGGTTCTAATCCTGGTTTGCCCCGATTATGTTTCTAGCTTTGTCAGCACCATACCCGTGCTCGTGGGTTTCACCGAAGTGGTAAACGTCTGAGACCTGCATCACTTGGGGCTTTCCACCCACATTAAGCTGACACGCCGCTATATAACTAAAATACTGTTAAAAGCTGCGTTAAACCCAACTCACTCATACACTCCTAAATGAACATTGCCCTTCGAAGCAAAGCTGAAGAAAGTTTTGATAGAAGAATTTGAATACATTTTTTGTTTTTGTTTGAAATAGTCGAGCCGATATACATCATAAAGAAGAAGGACAGTGACATGACAGAATTGCATCACAGAAAGAAGAGTAAAACCTGACCATTTTCAGTAAAAAGGTTAACTTGTATTATCTATATGACTTTTTTGTACACTTAATACTATTAATAGGCGGGCTATGGTGAGGAGAGGTGGAATTGGGTTTGACGTCGTGTCAAAGATTATTGCACTGATATAGCGACGTGCATGCACGTGTATGTGTGTGTGTGGCCACTTGTACTAGTCCGGACTGATGCCGATTTATAGTGCTAGCACACTGAGATACCTACCATGCCGCAGTTTAACATGAATACCCCACTCAGACCCAGTATACAGACTCCGAGCCGACAGTCCTTGTTTTAGCCCCTTAATGCCGAGCGCCAGACAGGGTAACAACAAGTACAATCTTTTTGTATGACGCGGCTTGGGATCGAACCCCGGACCTTCCGCTCTCCAGGCGGACGCTCTACCACTAGACCACGGAGGCGGTCAGGCGGGCTATGGACAGACTTATCCCACCTTACTTGGGACCATGGGGAATTATGCGAAGGATAATAGGAACCTGGTATCACTGAGTTCACTATGACCGAGAAGTGTAATGTTCTTGTGTAAGGAGATATCCATCACTATCTCTGTCAGCGTTCCTGACACACGACAGCACAGGGAGGCGTAGCTGTACATCAAGCTTGGCGGCGGACATACATTGCTTGTCGTCAGTAAGGTAGGTAGTCACGTTATTTGGATTGCAACAAGGTATTTCATTTTACTTTCGTTGTACAATTACCGTTTGACACTAATTTTGATGTAATGAGAATGATGTAATATTGTACGTTTAAGATGAATATTACTATATCTTGTCAAACCATTGTGTCATGGAGATCAGACTGTCATAGGTTCACGTATTTGTCTGTTCATATTAGTGTTGGGGGCACGGGTGACCCAGTCGTCAGAAACCTATGATTGTGGGTTCGTGTACCGGTTCGCCCAATTTTGTCAGCACCATACCCGTGCTCGTGGGTTTTTTCACCGAAGTGGTAAACGTCTAAGGCCTGCATCGAATCGGGCTTTCCTCCCACATGAAGCTGACACGCCGTGAAATAACTGGAATACGATGTTAAACACAACTCACTCACTCATATAAGCGTTGATTAACAAAAGGGGAGTTGTACACATAAAATCATTTTTTTCTTATATGAAATAAAACACAATTTTAGAATAGATTATTATCAACGTTTGCAAATATACGCTCATTTTCCCACTTTGAAAGTAGACTGCTCACAGTAAGTATGGGAATGTTATGTCGTCATTAGGCCTTCGTTTTCCGAGCGACAGTTACCCCCCTTAGATTACGACGTCATTGGTGACAATTTAAACTGGTACCCTGTCTAGTCCCAACGCAAAACATTTCAAATACCAGTTTATGGTAAGGCAACATGGCAACTGATACACCGTCTCATTGCGATGGAGTGTCCTTGACCCATCAAGAAATGGGGGGCGGTGGGGGGTGGGGTGGGGTGGGGGTGCGCGTGCGTGTGTGGGGGGGTGGGGGGGGGGGGGGGTAGTTGTGGCTTGCTGTGATTTGTATGGAGACTGGATATTTGTCAGCTGCAAAACATTTTCTCATTAAAACTAAGAGTGAGTGAGTGTGTCAGTGAATATGGTTTTACGCCGCTTTTAACAATATTCCAGCTATACCACGGCGGGGGACACCAGAAATGGGCTTCACACATTGTACCCATGTCGGGAATCGAACCCGGGTCTTCGGCGTGGCGAGCGAACGCTTTAACCACGAGGCTACCCGACCACCCCATTAAAACTATGAGCCTGAATATGTTTATAGCAAATAAATTCACAATGAATCTTCATGTGGCAGACAACTTCTTTTATTTTCTTCAACAGTCTGAAGATATTTTGTTTTCAAAAAAATTTTGCCCCAATTTTTTTCTTACGATAAAATCACCCCCATCCCGAATATCAATGAGTTTAAATAATAACGGAACCATTGACCACTTAACCACTTAACAGCTAAGCTTAAATTTCTGTGCCGCGACCCAATCAAACCCTCTCATCCAAAACTTAATAAACCAAAACATCAGCCCGAAAAACCAAGCTCTAGCTCGTAAACACCCCTTACTTACCCCAATATCCCAAAGAATAACTAACTACCTAAATGAACACCAAATTAAAAATCTTAAACAAAACTGCAAACAATCAAATATCTTCACCCCTAAACTTAAAATACCCAAAATAGACACAACACTAGCTAGCCAAATAAATAAACAAACCGACCCAAACATAGCTAAAACTACCACACTAGCATACATACACGAAAATTGGCCAAATTGGTGTCACATTTACACGGACGGATCCTCAGATCCGACCTCCAAACACACAGGTTTCGGAGTCCATACCACACAACCAACTAAAACCACACAATCCTTCCGACTCCCAAACAACCAATCAATATTCACGGTAGAACTAACGGGCATGGCCTCAGCCCTTCATAATCAAGAATCCAAAAACCACAAAAAAAATCCTAATACTTACCGACTCCCTAAATGGACTGCAAGCCCTCCAAAACAAAAATACCAAAAACCGACCTAAATTAATAAATCAAATACTTAAAAGCTCCAACGACCTAACTAAGGCAGGCAAACAAATAACCTTCTTGTGGATACCCGCCCACGTAGGAATATACGGTAATGAAAACGCCGATAAAGCAGCTAAACTATCCCTCAAAATCCCAGAAATAAGCTTAAACTTACCCATCTCAAAATCAAAAATTAAAAGTGTAAACAAGCAAAAAATCACAAAAAATGGCATAACCTATATCTAAACTCAAATAGCTAAATCAAAAAAGTGCTCAGCAAACCACTAACCAAACCAAAAATTCTCCATCCATCAAACAAAATCGACAGAGTAATCACTAAACTCCAAACAGGACACACCAACCTAAATAACCACCTAAATTTTTTTTAAAAACACACTACAGGTAACTGCACACACTGCAAACAACTAGAAACCCCAGAACACGCACTCATCCACTGCACACACTACCTAACACATCGAACCGCATTACAAACCACCCTCAATCTAAACAAGGCTCTCACTCTAGAAGCAATACTAAACCCACAAAATAAACTAGAAAACTTCAAGGCCTTAGGCGTATTCTTAATCAAAACGGAACTAATAAAACGCATCTAAAAACACAATAACCTACCAAATCAAAATCACATAAACAAACAAACATCCACCATACCCAGCTCCCTTAGTTCTCCTCCCCAACCCCATCGGCATCTATTCCAAATCTCAAAATTCCCAAATTCTATATAAGCAACCCCTAAAGCCCCCTCTTAGGATGCACAGACCATTTTCGCCCCTTTCGGAAACACATTAAATGGCCTGGCCGGGCCCGTGTGCAAAATACGCATCAGTCGGAAAGCGCACGTTAAATCTCCACAGTAAGTAAGTAAGTAAGTACTTAACACACAATTTTCTTCACCACAATTCCACGAATCAGCAGCAAACTTCATACAACCAGGAAGTAAGTAAGGATAGGAAGTTATGGATGAACAACTTCTTTATTACAATTAAGAGCGACGTTTCGGTGTAGCTCTTAATTGTAATAAAGAAGTTGTTCATCCATAAATTCTTGCCCTTACTTAGTACTCCAATTTCTAAATGCCTATCAAAGAAGAAACCAGGAAGTGAACAGTGAGTGAGTGAGTGAGTTTGGTTTAACGCTGCTTTTAACATTATTCCAGTAATATCACGGCGTATCAGCTTGATGCGGGAGGAAAGCCCCAAGTGATGCAGGTCTCAGACGTTTATCACTTAGGTGAAACCCACGAGCACGGGTATGGTGCTGACAAACCTAGAAACATAATCGGGGCGAACCGGGATTCGAACCCACAATTATAGGTTGCTAGCGTGCCCAAGGGATGCAACTCTGCACGGCGAATCGCGGCGCCTCAGACGACTGGGCCACCATAGCCCCCAGGAAGTGATGTGAACGAGGGGCACATGTGTCGTACTCGCGGATTCTTATGATTATCTCGTGAAACTATAACAGATATTACTTTAAACACATTTCTTAGATACCACTGTGGGTGGATTTTATCTGCTGAACTACTTTCGGGCAAACTTACCTGCGTTACTTCAACTTTTGTTACTACGGCGTTGTTTAAAACTCTTAATGAGAGTTCTGTCCCTTTCGACCGTTTCCATATAAGGATCGTTCGTCAACCAGTAGGTATCGCTCACGGAACACGACACAAACTCAGCAAGTGTCAAAATGCGCATCACAAATAAACGAATAAGCGCATTTCATTGAAAAAGTTTGCATCGATTTAATACAAAATATAATTTGGTTGCTTGTGATATTTGTATTGTTTTGGCGACGAAACTACCAGGTAAGTGCTTTTGATGTTGAACAAGTACAACAAAATAGGTTCATTTTAGTGTGAACTTGCCCTTTAATGAATTACATTGCTTTGTGCCTTCATTTTAATTTACAGTACACCACAGACGAAGGCGCATTACATAATTGTATTAGAATCCAGAATGTGACATTACCGTGTTCCGTGTGAGTTGAAGCGTTGTTTTGTTTTCTATATTGTAAATTTACAGGAGTCTTAACTATTTCTGTTTAATGTTTTAAGATACAACCGGGGAAAATGAAGATCTCACACGTGGCTGTGTTTCTAGTTCTCACAGGCGAGTAATTAAAACAGATAGTAAGAGTGTGTGTGCGTGAACAAGCATTGACGCCGATCCACGTATAAGCAGCTATCCACGCCTTCGGGAACGATATCATTCAATCCGACAAGTCACCTGGCTTAACAACCCGATTCTCTTCTGTGGCGTTGGGTGACAATCACTTCATTAGTTGGCGGCGCACTATTAAAACGCACATCACCAGGAGCTGTATAGCATGATAGCATGCTAAGGAACTACTCCCATATGGCATCACAGCCAACGTTAAAGCAAGAAGACATTGATGTGATGCAGCTAGTCGACAATTCCCACAGTTTGTATTGGCGTTATACATATGACCCTAAACCCGCGAATATCCGTGTGGAATAGGTCTTCAGTCTTCAGTCTTCAATGCCTGCCGTAAAAGCCGAGTATGCTTGACGTAAAAGCCGACTAACGGGATCGGGTAGACAGGCTCGCTGGCTTGGTTGATGCATGTCATCGTATCCCAATTGCGTGGATCGATGCTCATGATGTCAATCACTGGATTATCGGGTTCAGACTCGATTATTTACAAACCGCCGTTATACAGCTGGAATATTGCTGAGTTCGGCGTTAAACAACAAATAAACAAACAAACAAACATATGACCCTTTACATCCAATTAATAGGTGATAGCACATTTCATGTCTCACGCATTAACAAGTGATACAAATTACTTTCAATGGGATGCACACATTAAATTTCAAGTTGAGTGTGTGGTATATGGTTCAGGATAAGAGGAGTTTTAAAACATGCATATTAAGGGGGAACTGTATGATAGCTTGTTCTCTAATCATGCAACCACGAAATATTTAACACGGGGTATTCCGAACGACAGTTACCGGTTTTATGATTATATCCATATAATCTAGGCCTTGTAAAGCCATTTCAGAATGTTCTTCTTATCAGTTTTAATTTTTTTAATCGAGAATACGTCAAAATATGTTTCGAAGCTTAGTCGCCAGTTTAAAACTAGTGTCGTAAAGCTCGAGAAAGCTGCCTTCTGATTGGCTAATGTCGATTTCTTGTCAGTCATTTCATTGGTCGGTCAAAATTCGCGAACGGTCGTTCTGACGTGACCCGTAATGGGAAGTCCTCAGATCGTTGTTTAGCGGTAGCGAAAACTAAGATCTGATTTTAATGAGATTGCTGGTGGGACTACTTTATTTATGCTTATGGTAAGATAAACGCAACAAAGTGCATGGTTAGGCATTCACATGCCACGGAACATGTATTTCACGTGTAAACTAAAGCTATGAACTTCTACAATCGGCGTAACGTTTGGTTTTCAGGGAATTGAACTGAAATATTGATCAAGGGATCTATAGTTTTTGATAATTTGTAATAACGGTTTTGGCTGAAAACACGGCAGATAAATGACTATTTGATGCATAGATAACTGATGTTTGTCTGACTGATTTCACAGAGTAAGAATTGCAGAATATGTTTTTGCTACACAGGCGCAGCAGTGGCTCGACACCTGCAGAAGAGAGACTGGGTTCCTCCTCTGGACTGGGATAGATGTGATGAGCTTGAGCGGTGGTGTAAGAACAATATGACGATGATCAGGGACATGCTAGATGGACGGGGACTCAGCAGTTTGGTCAGTAGGGGCGCCTTGACCATCGACTGCTCGTGAGTAAAATATAGGATCTTAAACACACTGATGGCGTACAAGGTCCACATTGATTCGAGTTGACATCATTGATCCAGCATCTACTCATAAATGTTTATCCGCCAATGCATTGGTTGTTATTGGTATCGACTGTTCGTGAGTAAAATATAGGATCTTAAACACACTGATGGCGTACAAGGTCCACATTGATTCAAGTTGACATCATTGATCCAGCATCTACTCATAAATGTTTATCCGCCAATGCGTTGGTTGTTATTGGTATCGACTGTTCGTGAGTAAAATATAGGATCTTAAACACACTGAAAGCGTACAAGGTCCACATTTATTCGATATGACATCATTGATCCAGCATCTACTCATAAATGTTTATCCGCCAATGCATTGGTTGTTATTGGTATCGACTGTTCGTGAGTAAAATATAGGATCTTAAACACAATGATGGCGTACAAGGTCCACATTGATTCGAGATGACATCATTGATCCAGCATCTACTCATAAATGTTTATCCGCCAATGAATTGGTTGTTATTGGTATCGACTGTTCGTGAGTAAAATATAGGATCTTAAACACAATGATGGCGTACAAGGTCCACATTGATTCGAGTTGACATCATTGATCCAGCATCTACTCAGAAATGTTTATCCGCCAATGCATTGGTTGTTATTGGTATCGACTGTTCGTGAGTAAAATATAGGATCTTAAACACACTGAAAGCGTACAAGTTCCACATTGATTCGAGATGACATCATTGATCCAGCATCTACTCATAAATGTTTATCCGCCAATGCGTTGGTTGTTATTGGTATCGACTGTTCGTGAGTAAAATATAGGATCTTAAACACACTGATGGCGTACAAGGTCCACATTGATTCAAGTTGACATCATTGATCCAGCATCTACTCATACATGTTTATCCGCCAATGCGTTGGTTGTTATTGGTATCGACTGTTCGTGAGTAAAATATAGGATCTTAAACACACTGATGGCGTACAAGGTCCACATTGATTCAAGTTGACATCATTGATCCAGCATCTACTCATACATGTTTATCCGCCAATGCGTTGGTTGTTATTGGTATCGACTGTTCGTGAGTAAAATATAGGATCTTAAACACAATGATGGCGTACAAGGTCCACATTGATTCGAGATGACATCATTGATCCAGCATCTACTCATAAATGTTTATCCGCCAATGCGTTGGTTGTTATTGGTATCGACTGTTCGTGAGTAAAATATAGGATCTTAAACACACTGAAAGCGTACAAGGTCCAAATTGATTCGAGTTGACATCATTGATCCAGCATCTACTCATAAATGTTTATCCGCCAATGCGTTGGTTGTTATTGGTATGACTGCTTTACACTAACCATCGACTGCTCGTGAGTAAAATATAGGATCTTAAACACACTGATGGCGTACAAGGTCCACATTGATTCGAGATGACATCATTGATCCAGCATCTACTCATAAATGTTTATCCGCCAATGCGTTGGTTGTTATTGGTATCGACTGTTCGTGAGTAAAATATAGGATCTTAAACACACTGAAAGCGTACATGGTCCACATTGATTCGAGTTGACATCATTGATCCAGCATCTGCTCATAAATGTTTATCCGCCAATGCGTTGGTTGTTATTGGTATGACTGCTTTACACTAACCATCGACTGCTCGTGAGTAAAATATAGGATCTTAAACACACTGATGGCGTACAAGGTCCACATTGATTCGAGATGACATCATTGATCCAGCATCTACTCATAAATGTTTATCCGCCAATGAATTGGTTGTTATTGGTATCGACTGTTCGTGAGTAAAATATAGGATCTTAAACACACTGATGGCGTACAAGGTCCACATTGATTCGAGATGACATCATTGATCCAGCATCTACTCATAAATGTTTATCCGCCAATGCGTTGGTTGTTATTGGTATCGACTGTTCGTGAGTAAAATATAGGATCTTAAACACACTGATGGCGTACAAGGTCCACATTGATTCAAGTTGACATCATTGATCCAGCATCTACTCATACATGTTTATCCGCCAATGCGTTGGTTGTTATTGGTATCGACTGTTCGTGAGTAAAATATAGGATCTTAAACACAATGATGGCGTACAAGGTCCACATTGATTCGAGATGACATCATTGATCCAGCATCTACTCATAAATGTTTATCCGCCAATGCGTTGGTTGTTATTGGTATCGACTGTTCGTGAGTAAAATATAGGATCTTAAACACACTGAAAGCGTACAAGGTCCAAATTGATTCGAGTTGACATCATTGATCCAGCATCTACTCATAAATGTTTATCCGCCAATGCGTTGGTTGTTATTGGTATGACTGCTTTACACTAACCATCGACTGCTCGTGAGTAAAATATAGGATCTTAAACACACTGATGGCGTACAAGGTCCACATTGATTCGAGATGACATCATTGATCCAGCATCTACTCATAAATGTTTATCCGCCAATGCGTTGGTTGTTATTGGTATCGACTGTTCGTGAGTAAAATATAGGATCTTAAACACACTGAAAGCGTACAAGGTCCACATTGATTCGAGTTGACATCATTGATCCAGCATCTGCTCATAAATGTTTATCCGCCAATGCGTTGGTTGTTATTGGTATGACTGCTTTACACTAACCATCGACTGCTCGTGAGTAAAATATAGGATCTTAAACACACTGATGGCGTACAAGGTCCACATTGATTCGAGATGACATCATTGATCCAGCATCTACTCATAAATGTTTATCCGCCAATGCGTTGGTTGTTATTGGTATCGACTGTTCGTGAGTAAAATATAGGATCTTAAACACAATGATGGCGTACAAGGTCCACATTGATTCGAGTTGACATCATTGATCCAGCATCTGCTCATAAATGTTTATCCGCCAATGCGTTGGTTGTTATTGGTATGACTGCTTTACACTAACCATCGACTGCTCGTGAGTAAAATATAGGATCTTACGCACATACACTGAAGGCGTACAAGGGACAGACTGACTAGTGTTGGAGCCATGATCCAGTGCCATCTCATAAATGTTTATCCATCACCTGTACAAGGAGGCATTGACTGTTCTTTTCTGGGAACATCTTTACACTAACACAATGCCTGTTATCTTCAGAACAACCAAACAGTTGAACATGATTACACTGATGTGGCGACCCGTGAAGATCCGGGGTAGAATAGGTCTTCAGCAACCCATGCTTGCCTTAAAAGGCGACTATGCTTGTCGTAAGAGGCGACTAACGAGATCGAGTGGTCAGGCTCGCTGACTTGGTTGATGCATGTCATCGTATCCCAATTGTGTGGATCGATGTTCATGATGTCAGTCACTGGATTGTCTGGTCCAGACTCGATTATTTACAGACCGCCGTCATATAGCTGGAATATTGCTGAGTGCGCTGTTAATCAACAAACAAACAACAATACTGATGTAGTGACATGACCTATTTCTCCATCGTGTTAATCCGAAGACACATTTGCTTCCACAAACATGCTACATTTGTCAGAAATTATCGCTATGGTGTACACCCACACGAGGAAACCATTACCCAAGGATTTGTAATATATCGTCATTCATATTGCCAGAGGGGGCACGGGTGGCCCAGTCGTCTAAGGCGCCTCGATTCGCTGTGCAGAGTTGCGTCCCTTGCGCACGCCAGAAACCTATGATTGTGGGTTCGAATCCCGGTTCGCCCCGATTATGTTTCTAGGTTTGTCAGCACCATACCCGTGCTCGTGGGTTTCACCGAAGTGGTAAACGTCCGAGACCTGCATCACTTTGGGCTTTCCTCCCACATTAAGCTGACACGCCGCGATAAAACTAAAATACTGTTAAAAGCTGCGTTAAACCCAACTCACTCACTCACTCATATTGCCAGGAATTGTATCCCCTCCTTCGGTGAGTCTTTTACACCTTGTATGGAGGCGAACCAGGAGTGATGAGTGCTACCCTAACACACGAAATACAATTGAGATGAATATGATGTGATATATATCTTTATGTTTTATATCTGCATGATCAGGTCCAGTAGACTGGCAGCAAACGCTCAGCGCATGCGTGAAGCGGGGCATATGTGCACCAGCAACCTTGACATCAACGTCCCGATTTACACAAATGTCTACAACTACATTTGCAACAAGAGCCAAGGTTAGACAGCAACTTTAGCAAACGGATTATTTCGATATTTATAAAATGTCAACAGGGCTGTATCTCTAACAACATACAAGGTTAGAGAGCAATTTCAATAAACGTGATGGTTCAAACCCCTATCTGATGTCACGAGGGCTAAATTTCTAACAACATGACTGCAAATGTTTCTTTGTTTTTGAAGAGTTCATACAAGCAGAGGGCTGCTTGAGGAGTGGCGTTGTGTCTGAGACCAGACGTCGGTGCCATATAAATTCCAGAGATTATGAGGCCAAATGCCGGTAGGATATTGAGGTTCTTCACCTATATCTTTAACTTTACTTCCATATCAGGTAACCAGCAGCCTCATTCTGTATGAAATTATTTATCATCCCAAACTGGCTCCCACAGGAGATATCGCTTAGGTGAGATCAAGCGATATATAGAATACTAAACGAGCTCCTGTGTAATACCAATTTTATGAAACGAGTGAATAGTTGTGGTATCTGGCGACCGAATGCGAGTCAGATACAACAATTATTCACGAGTTTTATAAAATTGGTTTTACACGGGAGCGAGTTTAGTATTTTATTTATTACTTGCCATTTATAACGTTTTTAGAATTATGAATAGAGTGTGAATAGGCTGACACCTACACGATCCACGGCATAGTCCAGAATAATACTTCAAACACGTCAAAAGTTGAAACGTATGAATTTAATACCATACAACGGTCCACCTTTAGAATTCACAAAATTATCGTAGGACTAAGACTATCGCAACTCACATACTTTAACAGACTAACGACTCTCGTTGCGCTACAATACGATCGCCTTGTGGAACGGGCCTTGCACCTCAAAGTTTACAATAACGTCACAATACCCGATGACGTAATTTGTGGAATTTTGTTGCAAGATACATCGGCGAAACAATGCCATGTGACGTCAGCCTAGTAACAAGGTTGCTGGGGTCATCGAGTGTGCATAAGCTCCTCTCAGTGATATATCAACTCCACAATAAATGTCGTTGAATAAGCCAAGGGATGTTGAGAGCTTTCAATATTTGTTCGTGAAACGTGTTCCGAGAGTACATAAGCACGCGTTTTCGTATTACACAATGTGTGATACAGCTGTATCTTTAATAAACGGATGATCTCTTCACGGGCAAGTAATAAATCTACATTGTAGATGTCGCTGCAATGAAATTGCATCACAATGCTTTGCAGACAATTGTGACGTCATTGGTTACCATGATCTCACAATCGAATGACATCACTATAATGGCTCTGCTACTGAAGCCGTTAGCACTACTTTTGGAGCTCCTTTAGAATACGGCACCACAACTTCTCGTGAGGACGATCTCTGCCGTAGGTCACATGTCTCAAAGACAAGCAGCCAGTTTTTGTGAGAATCCGTCGGACGCGAACTCGCGACCTTCGGATTGTTAGCCCGACAGCTAACCGACTGAGCTGCGTCCACACTGTGATACTTAGTGCAAATTTACCTGGTCATGCCTACGATGTTACGGAACTGAACGAAAAGGGTCGAATAGGTGACGGACACTTACGAAGGTTACGGGTAGGCATGGTGTCTCGTGACTTTGGTCTACGGATACTTACGAATGATCCCCATGCCATTTGGCACACTCGTCCCATTCTGTAATCTACAGGATACCGAGTGGTGAGGAATGAGCCGATATGGCGCGAACTGAAAACGGCTCCAGGCGTCAGACGTCAGACGTCGAACTCGGGAGTACGCATGATGTGGATAATAGTAAGGAACGAGGGAGGCATGAGTATGGCTAGTGACGAAACAACGGTGTGTTCGCTTTTGAATCAGTACTGAAAAAATGTAGCCGGTGAAAGTGGCTTTTGTGAATGTTCCAGGACAGTTTCCAGTAGCCAAAATAGTCGACACAAACCACTTCATCCTTTTTACTCGACTTTTTTGTGTAAAGAATATTAGGAGCCGCTATAGAATCTATATTAGCCACTAAACAGTTACCTAACCCTAATGATCGTAAAGGGGTGATTGATCGTAAAGGGGATCCAAGGGCTAATGATAGTTCGGGGTAACCTACCCTTACACTGGCGATATTTGGATGTGTCCAGCGCCAATATAATATCCCTAATAAACTGCATTCTTGTGCATACTAATGAAAATTAATGAACCGAAAAATTATATATGTATATTAGTTCCCATTTATAACCATTTTAGACACTTGAATTATGAGAAAAACGAAATAAAAAATATGAAAAAAATAAAAGTGCTTTCGTAAACTATCGCTTGTTATAGATGCGCTGCCGCAGGCTATATTTAGTAAACAAATATTCAAAACTCTCAACACCGCTGGGCGTATTCAATGACTTTGCGTGTAGAGATGATAGATCACTGCAAGGAGCTAATGCACACTCGATGACCCCTGAATTCACAGGGCATTGTTTCGCCGGTGTGACTGGCAACAAAATACTACAAACTACGTCATAGAGTATTGTCACGTGTTTGAAATGTTTGTGGTACTGTATTCTAAAGGTAGGACGCACTTTTCACACTTAAAACACTGCTTATTATCATCTACAAAACTGAAAAAGTTGGAAGAACGATGTTGGATGAAAATGAATATCTCAACCGAGTGTCTTTTGATATCAAATCTACCAACACTCGTTGATAAAAGTGTTGATATATGTGATATCAAAAGACACTAGGGTGGGATATTCTATGTATTATTGGTACGCATTAAAAACATTATTTGTAACATTGCGATTAAGACCTAATATAACAATAAAAAGATGAAATTTATGAAACATTGAACAAATTACAGTTTCCTTTGTTTTGATTTTTTGCTTTGCTCGCAGGTTTTTTTGTCATTCTAGCTTGCATCTGAATCGATGGACGTATTTTATGGTGATGCATATTGTTTATTATTCATGCGACATTGAAATACAGAAATGGGTGTCCCCGTTTAATCCAACATTTCATTCTATAAAAGAAAGAGATAGTGTGGACAATGGAAAGTCGAGTGGTCCCGGCTGCACCCTCGTAGATTTTGGGTGCTCTATATTGTCTTGGGTTATTGTAATGGATCAGTATGCTCATATTGATGTACAAAGATAGGTTCTGTCATCGCGACTTCAGTGCCACACAAAGACGTAACCTTCACCTACGTTTGATTTCAGTGAAAAGCCTGTTTGCATCCGGAACAACCTGGGTAATACAGTACAGTGTTTAATGTCTAGAGACACACCAGCTCTGATGGGAAATATGTTTGATTTCAGTGAAGAGCCTGTTTGCATCCGGAACAACCTGGGTAATACAGTACAGTGTTTAATGTCTAGAGAAACACCAGTTCTGATGGGGAATATGTTTGATTTCAGTGAAGAGCCTGTTTGCATCCGGAACAACCTGGGTAATACAGTACAGTGTTTAATGTCTAGAGACACACCAGCTCTGATGGGGAATATGTTTGATTTCAGTGAAGAGCCTGTTTGCATCCGGAACAACCTGGGTAATACAGTACAGTGTTTAATGTCAAGAGACACACCAGCTCTGATGGGGAATATGTCTAGACTAGAATACAACTCCTTCATGGACAACTGTCATTATTATATGTAAGTCAATTGTGTGTTCAGATGCGATCTGTTTATATACTGTCATAGTTTTCAATGAAAAGGACAGTGTCATAATTACAAGTGTATTCAAATGTTTTAATGCATCAAGCTTGACGCACCAACGACAAAAATTATGTCCGATGCAATTCCCTATTTTGACTTGTACCATATGTTCCAGTGTTTTTTTTCAGATGAACAAATGACTTGCCTTTGCATGTGTTTGTGACGGGTGACCGGTAGGGCAGGATACCTTTTCGTGAATACCTGTTATCATTGCTATTTGATAGTGATTCATAAACACATGCTCATGATACAGACGGAATTGTACAATCGACAGTAGTTTAGGACAGCGCTCCAGAACCGCTCCTGGCTTCTGATTGGTCTGTGACGTCACTTCCGGTCACGGGACCTGCGCAGTGCATGATGGGTCATGCGTGCGCATCCAAGATGGCGGCACATCCGTTTCCTGTGGCGTGCGCACCTCAAAGATGGCTACGCATCCGTTTCCAATACGTTCGACCAATCAGAAGCCAGGAGCGGTTCTGGAGCGCTGTCCTCAACTACTATCGACACTGCTTTATGCAGATGTTTCTATTGGATATGGAAAGAGTTTGTCGCTTTATTTATTGCATATTGGTACCTCTTTCACAAGTAGTTTAGATATTGTGATAATAACCAGCGATGTGTGTGTCTGTGTGTGTATGTGTCTGTGTGTGTCAGTATATGTGTGTGTATGTGTGTGTGTCTGTCTTTGTATAGTTTCTGTTCATCTTTTGTTTCAGCGAGTGAGCCAAATATGCGAATGCAGTTGCGTAAATGTGAAGAGATCCGAATTCGGAATACTTATCACGGCTGTTGTTTTTCAAATAAATGAAAAATGAAATTGTCGCACATGTTATTGTTATTGTGAAGACTCCTCAACACTGCAGCCTTCTGCATTACCCAGATTGTCAGAAGGGCTGTATTCCTAGAAGAAAACCTGGGTACTCTCCCAATGTCAGACAACAGATTGGGAGGTACCAAACCGAGAACAATGAGAACAATGGGGATTCGGACAACTTGGTACTTGGGATACAAGCGTGACATTTCGAAAGCGAGGTCTGCATATTCGCCATGTTTGTCCTGAATCTTGTCAATCACATTAGTGTCAAAAGGGACCGAAAATGCAATGATATATGTTGGATTTATCAAAAAGGACAAGTTTAGGTGTGTTGGCCTTGACAGGTCTGAGGCTGTAAGATGGGACTAAGGGGTGGGCAGGCTTGCTGACTTGATGGACGCATGTCATTGTATCCCAAATGCGTACATCGATGCTCATGTGGTCAATCACTGTGCTGTCTGGTCCAGATTTTTTTCCTTTGAAAACAAGCTCTCACTTAAATGGCGCACTATCAAATTGCCGTGATCGTTCGCTACATCTTCAGTCGTTTTGTCAACGTTAAACTCGGCTTTGACGAATTCAACATTTTCTTCTGTACCATCTAGAAACTAGCTAAGGATTTAATCCGAACATCGACTCAATCATTGACATTCAGCTCATCTGTGCTGATACAAATTTCAAAATCATGTGACGTAGGCGGTAAAATGACGTCTTTAACAGATGCTATTATTTAGCCTTTTTTCAATTAATTGGCGGAATTTCACTGCAGTTATTGTCTTTGATTGGGCATGGTAAAAGATTGTTATACTACCAACCTGTCGCTTTTCGTCTGTGTTCAGTGTCAATAATATATAATAAATTATACATTAAATGAAAGACGATCCACCAACATCGTGTGATTGTCCGAGTGTGACGTTATTAATGACAAATACACACAATCAGACATTCAAGCATAGTCATATCGAGTAATAATTATATATCTGGTTAACAGTAGGGCAGACGCTTTGACTGAGGTATATGTCGGACACACGCGGAATGTCACTGAGTCTTTCATTCATCCAACTATAAGTGTTTTCTAATGGTCCTAAAGAAAACCACGTGTTTATTTTCGTCAAATATAAGATAATAAATGCAGTATTTCTAAGTTTTTTCATCTACACAGATTACGCATACAGTATTCAGCGTACAAGGAAAGTTTATTACCGCTCCACATTGTGAAGATGACTGGAACTGACCAGCAAATGAGATGGGACTAACGGGTGGTCAGGCTTGCTGACTTGATGGACGCATGACATCGTATCCCAAATGCGTACATGGATGCTCATGTGGTCAATCTCTGTGCTGTCTGGTCCAGTTTTTACAGTCCGCCATAAAATCACTGGCATATTGCCGACTGAGGCGTTAAACAACGATCAAACAAACGTTTATTGCATGCTCCTTTTTATATATGACGTGGGTCATGCAATGTTTGTCAGTAATACCTAATGTCATGCGTGGACGATCTTCACTACATTTGTATTCGAACGTTTTATCCGGGTGGAAATATTTCCATGACTTAACTAATAACACCTTCGTCCAATCAATTGGTTTTTAAACTCTTTCTGTTTCTTTGCAGCGTTTTATCCTCTTGTGTTCATTCGTTTGAATATGATTGTATAGAATATCAAAATCTGATGTAAAATATGTTTCATGATTGAAGAGAGACGATACTTCGTTGATCTTTACTATCGAAAGATTGTCTAATGTTCATGTATTTTGCAAGATACGTTATTCGACTGGATTTGTAAAAGGATATCCTATTGTGGACCAAACTTATTATTGTAGTATTTGTATGGTCAATATACGAATCACGTGCAAGAATTTGATGCCCGATGCCTAGTTCATGTTTTTAGTCTTCATGTTTTAATGACTTTCTGCGTGAGACTATATATCTTCCGGAAGAGGAAAATCAGGTCTAACACTACGTGCATAGCAATAGCTGGTACAAGTGGCGATGCGAAAAAAATGTTTTGGTATAAGGTCGGTAAGTTGTGTCTCTCCACGATTAATAATAAACTTATGACGTACAATTAACACCGAAAGATATTACGAGGTGCAGTGTTTTTTACAAATCATCCGTCATCTATATTAACACTTAAATGACAATTCGTTTTCCTGATCATGCAAAGTTCCAGAAAGAAACACTAACAAACTATCTCAAATGTTTTTTTAAAAGTTGGATTTCTCCTCAAACACAACAAACAGTCTCACCTTAAATCTGCAATGTAAACACGACGACGTGAACGACACACGCCACGTCTATGTCTGTAACAATATTAAATTCTTCAATGTCAACATAAACACTAAAATCACTCAAAATCATTCATACTGGAAACCTTTGATGACAACTCATTATCATGTACAATGAACAGGGGAGTTATCACCTGCCTTCCTAAACCAAACAAAGACAGAAAATTGTTAAAAAACTGGCGCCCAATCTCATTACTAAACGCTTTATATAAAATTATCAGCTCATGTATTGCTAATAGAATTAAAAAAAACTTAAATACAATCATACACCATAACCAAACAGGATTTATTCCAGGTAGATGTATAAGTGAAAACACTAGGAAGCTCTATGATATCATCTTTGAAACTAAAAGACTTAACAAACCTGGCCTACTCCTACTAATAGATTTTGAAAAGGCTTTTGATACAATTTCTAAACCTTTTATAATACAAGTAATGACAAAATTTGGTTTTGGACCGAATATCATTAAATGGGTAGGTATTTTGACTTCTAATACCACTGCATCTGTTATTCAAAAGGGACATCTATCATCATTCTTTAGGCTTGAGAGGGGATGTAGACAAGGAGATCCAATTTCACCCTATTTATTTATTTATTATCGCTGTAGAAATTCTAGGTATTATGATAAGAACAAATCCAGATATAAAAGGTATAACAATTAACGATAAGGAAAGTAAACTAGGTCAGTATGCGGACGATGCCCAATTATTTCTAGATGGATCTGAAAAAAGCCTTAATACTTCAATGGATACCCTCAACAAATTCTATCAAATGTCAGGACTTAAAATAAATGTAGAAAAAACAAAAGCAATTTGGATAGGATCATTGTCTGAAAGTAATCTAGTTTTAGCACAAGACTTTAAACTTGACCGGCATAAGGGAGATTTTGAAATTTTAGGGATAACTTTAAATACATCATTGAACAACCTTTGGGTCATCAATACTAGAAAAAGAATAGAACATATTAATAGACTACTAGCTAATTGGCGTAGAAGAACCTTAACTCTTATTGGAAAAATTACGGTTATCAAAACTCTTGCTATATCAACTCTGGTACACATCTTCTCTGCTCTACCCAATCCACCTAAAGCTTTTATTACCGACCTAAACACATTAATTTTTAGATTCCTTTGGAATAACAAAAACGACAAAATTAAGAGATCAACTATTAGCAGAAATTATGAAGATGGAGGTCTAAGGATGATAGATATTGAATGTTTTATCAATGCTCTCAAACTATCTTCATTACAAAAGTATATAAAAAAGTATGAAGATTCTACAACAATCTTCCCTCTAAAAATCTTTTCAAACTTGGTTCTAATGCAGTAGAATGTTTATCTAAACATGACAACCCTTTTTGGAGAGATGTATTGTCTGCTTCGACGATATTTTACCAAAAAATGAGTTTGTATGAATATGATTTAGACCACATTCTGAATCAACCACTCTGGCTGAACCATTTTTTTAAATTATCTTATATTATAAAAAAACTGGTTTAATCGAGGTGTTAAGAGTGTTAGAGACTTTGCGACAACAACGGTTTTCTTAGTTTTGAAAATTTCAAACAAAAATATAAGATCCAGGGAACTTTTCTAGACTTTCAAAAATTACTGAACAATATTCCAAAGAGTTGGAGATTTCAAATCAGAGACAAAACCCTTGATGTTAATGTAGTTCAGCTGAACAATATATGTAAACACTTCTTTAATAACGTTAAAAAATCAAGGACTTTTTATCATGAACTGATTAGGAAGGATACCGTACCGAAATCATTAGAACACTGGAATATGGTATTTCCTCAAGGTTTGGTTTGGAAAAATTTACTTCTATGGTATAGAAAATGCACGCGCGATTGTAAACTTTTAGATTTTCAATATCGATTTATAAACAGAATAATTTACACTAAGAAAGAATTATTCAAGATGAAACTTTCGATGAAGATATTTGTACTTTCTGTAAAACTGCTTCTGAAGATATGTCTCATGTATATTTCGATTGCCAATCTGTTCAACAATTTTGGCTTAAAGTTGAAAACTTCCTAAATAACAACCTGCAAACAAATTTTATCCTTTCGAAAGTTAATATCTTTTTTGGTGTTTCCACTCAAAACCATGTAACAAATCATATTATTATATTGGCAAAAAGATTCATCTACATATCAAACATAAAACAACAAGATTTATCTTTCGAGCAATTTCTTTCACTACTAAAAGACACAATTTGTTTGGTAAGTTTTATCGCTAAAAAAAATAATCAATTTAACCAGTATGCTCAGAAATAGCAAAACTTACAACTCATAATCTAACGAAGCAGTTGAAACATACTACCTGTTAATTAGTAATCATATATTTCTTGTAAACAAATATTTATAATTTCCCTCTCAGTTTGAGAAGGCGATATATCCTACACAACCTGCCTGTCCTCACCTATGAAAACTATAACTTGTGTTAATTCTGTCATATATGTACATGTTAATACCTACACTTGTAACAATATACTTGGAATGGAATAATAAAAAAAAAATTAAAAAATATTAAATTCTTCAAGGTCAACACAAACACTAAAATCACTTCACGCATGAATCACCATGTAACATGCATGAATCACCACGTCACACACATGGTTGAATCACCACGTCACACACATGCACGAATCACAACGTCATACACATGCACGAATCACCACGTCACACACATGCATGAATTACCACGTCACAC